CAGAGCTGTTGTTTTTATTTTCCTCCCCAGATAATCTCTGGGAGATAAATTAGATTTAAAGGTCACAAAATCCACTTCACCATGTTTCTCTAACACTAATCTACAAACCCCCCATGATGAGAAAAGTCCATCCTCTCTGTCTTTTACCTGCTCCACTTTTCAGAAAATGTGTGCTCAAACAGGCTGTTTGGAGATTTTCCCTTCATGACATCACAAAGGTCAGTAGCCCCTCCCCCAGCTGGGTGACACTCCCACAGCTAGGTGTTTGTTCTGCCCTCTGAGTCTGCCTTCTCACTGTAAACAATAGGACATGGAGGGAGAAAGCCCGAGCCAATCAAGCCCTTCCAGAGAGGGGGCGTGGTCAGACACAACTCATTTACACATTTAAAGGTACAGACACAGAAACAGTCTGTTCTGAGCAGGGCTGAAATATAGGAGTTTATAGACATGATCAAATACAGGATCAGAGTGGATTTAGAACAAGAAACTTCACAGACATGTTTTGAGGAGCTCTGAGACTTATTTAAACTTCTTAAAAAGAAGGAGAATATGTGACCTTTAATCCAATAACACGGATAAACACTTTGGTTTAAAAAGTGTTTTTCCAGCATTTCACCTTTTTTATCCCAAGAAATTAATCTCAACGACACTTTGAATGTATAAAATGACCGTCATAATGAGGTTTGTTGCTGTACACGATCAGATATTAATCACATGAAGCCAGATTGGGTCTCTTCTCATGGTTTTATTTGTTGGTTTGTTTTGAATAAAGTCGAGTACGTTGTTTTTTTCCAGCGGTCTAAAAGCTGTTCTTTGAATCTGACCTCTGCTTCTTTTTCTCCCCTCAGACTCTAAAGCCATCATTGATGGGAACCTGAAGCTGATCCTGGGTCTCATCTGGACTCTAATTCTGCACTACTCCATCTCCATGCCGATGTGGGAGGGCGAGGATGAAGACGTAATGACTAAACCTTTTTTTAACTTCTGTCCCTCTCAAAGCACATTCATCACTCAGTCTGCATTAAGGATAAAAAGCAGTCTTTTAGTTTTTGAATCAGAATTAAAAAGTATGAGTCACTATTTGGAAGCTGTCTAAATATTTTTGATTTTTCCCCCCATCAGACAGAGTCAAAGACCCCTAAACAGCGTCTGCTGGGATGGATTCAAAACAAAGTCCCCGATCTGCCGATCCAAAACTTCAGCCAGGACTGGAGGAATGGCAAGGCACTGGGAGCACTGGTAGACAGCTGTGCACCAGGTACGATCTGAGAGTGTGTTTGTATTTGAAGGGATGAATATGATTGTTTTCGTTTTAATGTTTCCTGTAGGAACATTTTAAAGGAGTAAAGTACACTTTCTACTCCCGGGACCTGAAGGGGAAACATAGCAGGGGTCAATTGAGCTGTTTGGTCAAATGCACAAAAACATAAATGATTACAAAACTTTACCAGAAAAAGACATAATGAGCCAGAAGCAATAACTTTCTTTCTCTTACTGCCGGTGAACTAATTAAAAAATGTAAGTTATCTGTTTCATTGTAAGCAAAAGTTGCTTCATTGCATATCGTGTGTTTTGTTTATAAAGAATCCAATCCTCTCATCCCCGCTGTGTCTCTGTAGGTTGTTGTGCTTCTGACCATGTTGTCGTTGTGTGTTATGTTGTTTGCAGGTTTGTGTCCAGACTGGGAGACCTGGGATTCAGTGAAACCAGTACAAAATGCCACTGAAGCCATGCAGCTGGCCGACGACTGGCTGGGCATCCCGCAGGTAAGAATCCACTCTGACACAGTTCCACGCTGCTCTCTGCTTCTTCACTTTGACTGTCACACTTCACCATAAGGTGGACAATTTGACCCAATAAAGCATCTAAAGCATCTTAACAAAGTCCAAACTCAGCAGACAGATTTCACCAAATCATGCTTTGTTGATTAGACGCTTTTATTTGAAGCTGAGAGGATGCATCCTGCAGATTTTAAAAGCCTAAAACAGATTGTTGCTGCAGTACTTTTTGCTCGGTCAGGCAGTCTACACCCTCAGGAAGTTTCCTCCAGAAAAAACACGGCTGTCAAACTCTTTGTTTTCTGGAGCGGATTCTTGAGTTTGGAAAATGTCAAATGTGACGTGAGCAAGAGGAAAAGGCTGTAACTGATACCTGTGTGACACGGAGTTCAGCGTCCTGGACCGAGTTAATCCACAGCCAAGCTTCCTCCTTAAATCATCTTCCTCAACGTCCCACCTCTTCCTTTTTTATTCTTCTGTGAGGTCAGCTCACGATCACTTCAGCCACTTTGCAGATTCACTGAAGATGATTTGAACCCGAAAGCTTTATTATGTAAAGTGTCTTTAGATATCATTTGTTATGAATTAGAGCTTTACAAATAAAGATTTATTGATTTACAATGAAGTGTATGATCAGTACTATGTGGACATCTTCATTGTATACTTTTTTTAAGGTTTATTTTATTTTATTTTTTTCTTCCTTAATTTTAGAGATAGGGCAGTGGAAAGTGTAAATCAGGGAGAGAGAGAGTAGTGAATGACATACAGGAAAGGACACCGGCTGGATTCAAACCCGGTACCACCCGCTTGGAGGACGATGCCTCCATAAATGGGGTGCATGCACTGAATGCTAGGCTACCGGTGCCCTTTTTCATTTATTATTAAAGTGACTTTTTTGGGGCCTTTTTGCCTTCATTAGACAGAACAGGTGGACAGAAACAGGAAAACGTCAGGAGGAGAGAGTGAGGGATGAAATGCAGCAAAGGGCAGAGGTCGGATTTGTACTCCTGGCTGCTGATATGAGGACTATAGCCTCCGTATATTGGGCGCATGACATAACCATTAGGCTATCCGGCGCCCCTGGAAACTGTTATTCATCGTTTGGGCAACTTAGTCCGAATGAAATGAAATCTTAATGTGCAAGATGTCAAATATTTCAGACAGTCATGTTTGAAGAATGAGATGGCTGTAATGTAAACCTGAACTCTCTCTGTGTGTGTGTGTGTGTGTGTGTGTGTGTGTGTGTGTGTGTGTGTGTGTGTGTGTGTGTGTGTGTGTGTGTGTGTGTGTGTGTGTGTGTGTGTGTGTGTGTGTGTGTGTGTGTGTGTGTGTGTGTGTGTGTTGTGTGTGTGTGTGTGTGTGTGTGTGTGTGTGTGTGTGTGTGTGTGTGTGTGTGTGTGGTGTGTGTGTGTGTGTGTGTGTGTGTGTGTGTGTGTGTGTGTGGTGTGTGTGTGTGTGTGTGTGTGTGTGGTGTGTGTGTGTGTGTGTGTGTGGTGTGTGTGTGTGTGTGTGTGTGTGTGTGTGTGTGTGTGTGTGTGTGTGTGTGTGTGTGTGTGTGTGTGTGTGTGTGTGTGTGTGTGTGTGTGTGTGTGTGTGTGTGTGTGTGTGTGTAGGTGATCACTCCAGAGGAGATCATTGATTCCAACGCGGACGAACACTCGGTGATGACTTACCTGTCTCAGTTCCCCAAAGGCAAACTGAAGCCTGGAGCTCCACTCAAACCCAAACTCAACCCCAAGAAGGCCCGGGCGTACGGAGCAGGTACACACACACACACACACACACACACACTCTGTTGGTTAAAAGCTTCTGTGTTTGTGACCCGTTCCTGCTAGTGTGTTCAGTCTAATGGGAACACTGGAAACAGTGCTGTGTCTGACAATGTGAGGAAGTGAGTAGCTATTAGTGTGAACAAAGGACAAGGTTATATCTGATGAATACACACACACACACACACACACACACACACACACACACACAAACACACACAAAGGTTGGGAAGTTGAACAAATATCCTCTGACTTTTACTGAAGGAGGAAGGAAATACCTGGAAATGGCTACAGAGATGCAGGACACACACACACACACACACACACACACACACACACACACACACACACACACACACACACACACTGCAAGCGTGCACCCCCTCTGAATTACTTGACAACTGTTTGCGTGTAAGTCTTAAAGTCATCAGTCACTATCACAAAATGTAAAACTTTGATGCAATACTACTATACGGCAACAAAAATGAGAAGTCCTTGGCACCTGATTTTCAGTAATTTCTTGTTTTTAATGACCAAAACTCTGAGATTGCATCATTTTTAAACCAAAAGAAAAAGTCACGTCTTGCCTTTGAAATGTTTTTCCTGCTTTACAGAATTGTTCTTGTTCGGCTAAAGCGTGTGTTCCTTCACAGTCCATTTATTTAATGGTTATTTTCTGTTGATGGTCTTTCTCTGTAGGTATTGAACCGACGGGGAACCGAGTGTTGCGTCCTGCTGTCTTCACCGTGGACACGTTCAGCGCCGGTCAGGGTCAGGTCACCGTCTACCTGGATCATCCAGATGGCACCAGAGAGGAGGTATGAACCGACTTTTTCCTTTTACTCCTACTGCACATCTTGATTCTTCAATAACTGACCATACACTTGTAACTCTCTTCTTTTTGTTTAACATCTTTCCGTTTGTGTATTTTAGCTGAAAGCTGAGCCAAACGAGGGCAAGAAGACTTTCGGTGTCACCTACGTTCCCAAAGTGGTGGGACCGCACAAGGTGAGCTGCGACTCTCATGTGATCATTTAAAGTGAAGATAAGAACTTAAACGAGAAGGTGAAATATTGAGATAAGGTGGAGGGAGGTTCATAAACACGAGGAGATCCATATTTAAAAACATACAAAGATCGGAAAAGGTCGCAGCCCTCCCCTCTGCAGACAGAAGCTGTTCATGGTCCTGTTTGGCCCTCTCAAAGTCCTGCATGCAGCGAGCAGCGTGACCCAGTCCTGCGTATGCTCTCATCTCGATGGACTTTACTTCCAGCTCCTGGGTGAGCTCCAGAACGTGCATGTGGTAGGACATGGCCTCGTCAAAGTTACGCTGGTAGTGGTAGGCCCGAGCGTCCTCTGGTTTATTTTCAAGGTCCTTGGCAATACCCAGGTTTTAACCTTCATGTGCGCCCGGAAAAAAAGCTTGAAAACCGCGTCGCTCAGCAGCAGAAAAGAGCGCCCGGCGAGTGTGTTGTACCACAGGAAAACAGCGGTTTTACTACGGTTACGGTTTTAGTGTCTCTGTGTGATCTAAAGCATCCTTTCATAACACAGTCCTGCACCCCACATCTTCAAATCCTGTTCCTTAAAATCCAGTGAAGAGGGAAGAAAAATAGATCCTTCATATTTACAAGATGATGAAAGGTTTTAGGGTTTTTGTTTTAATCAGTGAACTGCCTTGACTTGTTGCCTACAGCGCAGTCTGGATGATTGTCGTCTTTGTTTCCTAGGTGACGGTGATGTTTGCAGGCCAGCAGATTCCCAAAAGTCCGTTTGAGGTGAGCGTGGACAAAGCGCTCGGCGACGCCTCAAAGGTGACCGCCAAAGGCCTGGGAATCGAACCTGTGGGAAACGTCGCCAACAAACCAACGTACTTTGACATCTACACCGCAGGTCAGAGACTTCACAGACGCACAGAAGATTCACAGGAATTCAGCAGGACAGACGGGAGACCGTTACATATGTTGGCGCGCTGATTAAGAAGCTTAAGGCACCGTGTCCACCTGGCGTTTCTTTCTGAGCGCCAGCATCTTTTTTCAATTGTTTTCAATGAGCAGAGAGCGTTAGCATCAGCAGCAGGCGGCCACCTGGCGAAAAAACGTAGCGCGTAAAGTGCTCCAGCCTTTAATTGTGCGGCTGCTCCGAGCGCTTGAATTGAAATTCAGTTCAACTTTTCAGAAAGGTCCTGTTGCGGTCACCGGCGCTCTTTTCCTAATGTTTGATACTCCCTGTATTTTAGCCTCCTATAGGTCGTGTCTCACATCCTCCTCGCATAGAGACAGGACGGACGCTTCATGCAAGCACTTCAGAGCGTACAGCCAGCGCTTTTCTGCCCGAAATAAACGCTAGGTGGACATCATTACTAGGTGTGACTCGCCTGACTCCCCAACAAAAAAGATGTGATGACCAATCTGCCAAAACAATGGGCGACCTCACAGTGGCTCTGATACTTTAAATATACGATCTATCATCTGTTATAAGGACAAGGCCTGAGGGGGGGGGGATCTGATTTCATAACCACACACTTTAAATCATCTCTGACTCAACGTTACACACCCTCGCTCTTTGTTTGATATGTACTCAGAGACAACAAAGGTATGTTGACATGTATCAGCTCGTCTGGATCAGAGCTGAGTCGCACTCATTATGAAATGTGCTTACAGTGTTTATTCATGACTTTCCAGCAGAGGGAAGATCCTGCTGAATATCTTACATTCATCAGTGTTCATCTCCTTTGTGTCCTTATTTGACCTGCAACACTGCATGTCACCCTCCAGCTGTTACGTGTTAATGAAGATTACGTTTACTCATCCGTCTTCTCTGTGTTTGTGGGAAAAGGACGCTAATCGTTCCTGTGCATGAGAGCTATGCATGAACACTGCGAGGTTGCAAAAACTCTGAGACTGCATGAAAACACACATGTACCTGCACTGAGTCACCAAGGCCTGTGTCCATCTGGCGTTTCTTTCTGAGTGCCAGTGTCTTTTTTCTATTGTTTTCAATAAGAAGAGAGTGTTAGCAGCAGCAGGCGGCTGCCCGGAGATAAAGAGCAGCGACCAGCATCTTTTTCCTTTTTTTTTTTTGGCTGCTCCGAGCGCTTAAGTTAAAAATCGTTCAACTTTTCAGCACGGCGCTGTTGACGTCACCGGCGCTCTTTTCCTGCTGCAGAAAATAACCATCTAAGATTCAGTCAAATTTAACGGAACAGTCATACAGCGGCTGTTGTCAACAGACTGTTGTCATAGAGACGGGACAGAGCTTTTCTTCTCAGCGCACAAACGCTTCATGCAGGCGTTTCTCTGCGCACAGCCAGCGCTTTTCTACCCGGAAAAAACGCTAGGTGGACATTTTCAAATGGACTTCCAGCCTTTATGTTAAGCTAATAAACCCTGGACAAATCTCGTATCAGCCCTCCAGCAAACTTGGTATTGGCAATTTTCAAGTTAGAACCCTTTACGTCACTGCTTACTGAAATAAAGAGAATATCATAAGTGTACTTCCTGCAGATCAGCGCCTTCTCTTCCCTCACATCGTTATTTTCTGGTAATATTTTAAACTCTGCAGGAGCGGGTACAGGAGACGTGACGGCGATGATCAGAGACCCAGCGGGCTGTCAGAACAGCGTGGAGGTGATGATGGAGGACAAGGGCGAAAGCGTGTACCGCTGCACCTACAAACCCACACAGGCCGGGCCGCACGCGGTGACCGTCACCTTCGGGGGGGTCGGGATCCCAAAGAGCCCCTTCAGCGTGGACGTGGGGCCTGGTGAGTCTTTACAGCTTTATTAAAAAATATAGAAGGAGAATCAAGGCAGGACTTTAACGAACACCTTCATGTGTGTTTTTATCAGCCTGCATGCCGGGTGCGTGCAGGGCGACCGGGCGAGGTCTCCAGCCGTCAGGACTGAGGGTCAAACAGGTCGGAGACATCAAGGTGGACACCAAAAACGCCGGCAGTGGAGACCTGAAGGTCCTCATCAAAGGACCCAGTGAGTACCAATCACACTCATGAGGGATTTTAGAGAGTTGAAAGGTTATTTACTCCAGGTAAAAAGCTTGCTTGGACCAGTTCTGGATAGTAGTGCAAGGAATATCTTCACAAGTAATTTAAAATGTACATATTTTTGTTGTTTTAATTTTATAATGTTGCAAGTTTTAAAACTATCATGACAACGTGTGAAGAAACCAGAGCTGCGTTTAGCAACATTAGCTCAGTTTCTAGCTCCTATCGTTCATGATAAATTTGATCATCACACCACATCGAGATAGTTTATCCTGCTGCTCTTGTGCTCAGATTGTTCACATCCTCCTCTCTAAAATAAGATCCACAGTGTCCAGTATTTGAAGGCAAATCTGAATATTTTCCAAAACGCCTGAAGGATCTCTGACTCTGCTTTGATATCAGATGACTCTGGTTGATGTGTGTGTGTGTGTGTCCGTGTGTGTGTGTGTCCAGAGGGGATCGAGGAGCCGGTGAAACAGATCTCCAGTCAGGACGGCGTGTTCTCCTACGAGTATTATCCCAACAGTCCAGGCAAATACACCGTGACCATCACCTGGGGGGGTCAGCACATCCCCAAGAGGTGAGCTGTGTGTGTGTGTGTGTGTGTGTGTGTGTGTGTGTGTGTGTGTGTGTGTAAAGAATCACCTCAGCACTTTACCTCATGTTACCTGAATGGTTGGATCTACTGGGAAATAAATACTCCATCACTGGCTCTGCTGAAACCGTCTCTCCTCTGTGAAGCCTCTGTTACTACCTCTGAAGACGGTACAGGGGTGGTATGTGGGGGCGGGAAGGGGGGGGGGGTCACTTCATCCCATCACAGCCCGGCTCTTAGACTGTGACAAAGATTGGGACACGCCGTCACCGTCGGCCATTACGGCTCTGCAACAGTCAGATTGAAGAGGAAACGACACCAGGATGTAAATATCACAACTTCAAACGGCAGTCTGAACAGGACTTTAGTCTTTGTCTCTTCTTTGTTGAGTTAATTGTGAGTTTTGTCGACTTTAAGTTTTAGTATGAACATTAATATCAGATTTAAAGACGAGGATTTGAGGCTGTAAATGTAAATATCATACACTTCATGAAGTAACAAGGTGTGTATAATAACTTCAGACTCCTTTGTGCCTGTTTTCGAGTTTCTCTTATAATCCAGAACAGAATCCTGAGCAGGCATACCCTCGGGTCATAACGGGTCAGAGAGTTCCCACAGTGAAGAAGACGTCTTTAAATCTTCTCAGGGCTTCTGTTTTATTTCATCCAGAAGTGACTGTTAGCTCACCTGGCTAATGTAACGTCTCCCAGCTTTGTTCTGCTGGATACAGAAGAAGAGAGAGAGAAAAACACCGGGCGGAAAACGAGCGTTTGAGCAACTGTTGTTTGAAGTTTCAATATATAAGATACTTTGATTATTTTTAATACCACGTCTTAAGATGATTGAATCTCTGTTTTTTTAATTGATTGAAAGTATCCAAAAAGACAGAAGCTGTAAAAAACAAACAAAAAAAACGTCAGATTGGGGTGCAGATGGTCTAGTTGTAAGGTTGCATCCACTGTACAGAGGCATGCCATGTACGGGGGCAACTCAGGAAGAATTCAGGGGCAGATTCCCCAAAATGTTGTTCAAGTTTTCAGGAGTGTGAAGAAGTGTGAAAAGAGGTCTAGTGAAGGTGAAGAGCAGACGAGTTGGCTTCTCTTATTTTGGTGTCTAAGGTGATATGAAGAAATGTGTCACTTTTGTCTTTCCCTCTTTTTTTCTGTTTTTCAGTCCCTTTGAAGTGACAGTGGGTCGGGAGGCGGGGCCTCAGCAGATCAGGGCCTGGGGTCCGGGTCTGGAGGGAGGCGTCGTGGGTAAACCCGCAGCCTTTGTTGTCGAGTCCACCGGCACTGATGTCGGCGTGCTGGGTGAGATTTCCTCTTCTTTCACAGCAGCTTGACTTTGTGCTTTGTAACTTTTATTTATTTGATAAGACGCCTGAAAAGGATTCAGATCCAATCTGAGTGTTCAGCCAAACCTCAAACCTACTTCACATCCAGTCTAACCCGAGCCGCTGGGTCTGCAGGTTTTGCCATTGAGGGACCGTCTCAGGCGAAAATCGAGTGCGAGGACCAGAACGACGGCTCCTGCGACGTCCGTTATTGGCCGACAGAGGCCGGAGAATATGCTATCCACGTGACCTGTGACGAGGAGGACATCGAGCACAGCCCCTTCATGGCTCACATCGTCCCCGACAACAACACCAGCGACCCAGACAAGGTCAGGAAATCCCCTTTCAGACACGCACCCCTCAAAAAAAGTCTAGGAACTCTCAGGACAGGTTCCCACACAGGTTGCCGTCGTATTTCCCACATGTTTACACGTATCTTTTTGTATTACAAAGAGTTTGAAGCTTGATCACTGAACAATGATGAGCAGAACATTACAGTACTAATTTTCTTTCACTGATCATACCTCCACAGCATTTAAAATGTCAATATTTATGTCATGAACAACTGAATAATAAGGTGTCAGGCAAGAGTGACATCAGACTTACACATAAAAATATATAAAAAACAAAACGATGTATAGATCTACAAATTATTTTAACAGCCATTTCTTGAGATCGGATTAAAAACTCCTCTCCTGCAGTGGTCACAGGATGTAAACGTTAGCCTCCATGCCCGCCTGCTCACTGTGAATTTACCTGTGCTCACACTTCAGTTCTGAATTCAGGAGGCTGACAGGGAAAAAAAGTCCTGAAAAAGTTGGGTGTGAAAAATTCAGCCAAATTTTAGGTGTGACTTTGTGTATGAATCCTGTGTCTTTACTCCTGGGTCAGCTGCTGTTTGTACTCGCTCTAGCTGCTGAAAAATCTTCTTGTCACAGATAAGTTACAAACCGCAGCGCTGCAACACCTGCAGGTTGACTTTGTAAAATGAGAAGAAAGGGTGATGTGTCGATCGGCATTATTTTGGCCTTGCAAGTTGTTGGAAACCTCTGAATGAATACTGGTCCTCTTAAGACGTGCTGGTTTTGTGATTTGCAGGTGAAAGCTTACGGTCCGGGGCTTGAGAAAACCGGCTGCTTGGTCAACCAACCTGCCGAGTTCACTGTCAGCGCTAAGGATGCTGGGAAGGGACCTCTGAAGATCTCAGCTCAGGTGAGACACTGAAACCCTTTCTCTCTCAGTGAGTACACACATGCACACCTTTCTGTTTTTTTTTTTAAGCTACATGTTAAGACTTCAGTTTGTTTTTCCGGAAGCTTTGACCTCTTTTGTCTCTCTGGCAGGACGCCGAGGGTCTCCCTGTGGAGGTCAAGGTGAGGAGCAAAGGTGACGGGCTGTACTCCTGCTCCTACACGCCGGCCTCCCCGCTCAAACACACCGTGTCCGTCGCCTGGGGAGGAGTCAGCATCCTGAACAGCCCCTTCAGGGTAAGCAGCCAATCACAGCGCCCTGTCGCCACAAGAAGCGATATCCTGCTCAAATCCAAGGACGCGTTCGAGACAGAGAGCGTTAAGATCGTCCAATCAGAATCTTTAGTTAAGGCAGAGAGCATCAGGGTCGTCCAATCAGAGCAGAGTGTTCTGGAGGGACGTTTAGAGGCGGTGCAGTCCAAACGTAAAGGTGCGAGCAGTAAAAGTAAGAAGCCTCTGATTATCATCACTACGTATACTGAGGAGAGGTACGGCTCTTAGATTGGCTGCACGCAGACCAATCAGAGCACACGCTTTAAAAAGACGGCGTTAAAGAAGGAAATCAAATTTTACATTTCACTGTGTTCATTTATCAGCCTTCCTCATCACTCTGTAACCTGTCTGTGCTCTGTAACCACCTCCCTTTGTGTTTGAGATCAGCACTCACTCACTCACTCACTTTCTTTCTTTTTATTTGGAGCTGTTGTTTTAATGTCATTTTAAGAATCACCTCGTGCACTAACCAGTCTGATCTGCACTGTAACTCACTTTTCCTTTTTTGTAATTTGTGACACTTTTTGTTGTTTGAGCTTCACTTATCTGACCCTCTCTGATCCAAAGATTAAAACTTATAAAGTAATAAAAAACCATCTGAGGAGGGACTGATTCTAACTTTGACCGATTGCACTTTTTGGGGCTCAGATGTGGTGCTTTAAAAATTGCAAATCTGTGATACAGAGTAGAGAGGCTACAAGCACGGTGTACATGCAAAAATCATTCATAACTAAACCATTGATTCTCAACTGGGGGTGGCTGTGGCTCAATTGGTAGAGTCTGTCATCTCTCAACTGGAAGGTCAGGGCTTCAATCCCCATCTCCTGCAGCCTTATGAGGATGTGTCCTTGGGCAAGACACTTAACCCCAAGTTGCTCCTGCTGCTTCGTTGGCAGCGTGTGAATGTGTATGAATGTGATTAGTTACTTTACTCAGAGCCTCTACCATCAGTGTGTGAATGTGTAGGTGTGACCTGTGGTGTAAAAGCTCTTTGAGAAGTCAGAAGACCAGAAAAGAAATATACAAGCTCAAGTCCATTTACCATTTATCTGGTGGGTCCGGAACCAAAAGCGGGTCGCTTGTTGGTGTTCCTTATCGTCCTTATCGTGACCTCAGGGTGGGAACAAATCACCTAAAGCTCACTTAAGTTCTTTTGTCCTGATCAAATGAACAAGTTAAATCTGGTGGGATTTGGACAGCGAGGGATTTGGTCCTGGTGCACTCGTGGCGGCTCCCGCTAGACGAGAGTGATCTGTGAAGTGTTTTGGAAAAAGTAACGCTGGTTAGAAGGATTGTGTGAACACAAAATATTTGGATCCTGAGAGGTTCAGATAAGTGAAGAGTGCTGTCGTCTTTACTGCATGTGATTCTTATTTGTTATGAAGTCTAATTTGTTCCTGTTGAATGAAAACCTTTTCACTTTTTAGAACTTTACTTTAAAGCAGCATCTTTTAAAGGCATAATGTGCGACATTCTGAATACTAATATTGTGAAAATCAAATACGCTCTATGTAAACAAATCGTGGCGTGAAGGGTTCTTAAAGAGAGCGAGAAGAGTGAAGTCAAACTCCCTCTGGATTTGCTGATCTCGGGTCTGTGTTCAAAAAAACAAACATGTTTGAAACATGTTGCAGTGAACCCCTCCCTGTCAAACCGTTAGCCCTGCCACCACGTGGGGGAAGAGCAGCTGCCCCGCCCACTCAGGGAAGCCGTGACAAGGTGCTTTAAAACGGGAGTGTCGTCGCAAGAGTACATCTGAAGAAGAACCAACAGAGTTTCAGAACACAAGAAAAAACTTTCTACAGCCTAAAAAAGACAAACGCTACAACAGAATCATCCTTGAGATTCATATTGTTACTTGAATTGGATCGCAGAATCTCTAACCCTGCTGGTGGAAAAGGACGGGAGGCGTGGGGGAAGTCTGGCGTCGGGAGGGGAGGCGGGAGCTAGATTTGTTTTGATCTGAATATCTGCTCTGAAAAGTCACACAGTACGCCTTTAAAACCATTAAAAGCATCAACATCAAACATGAACTAAAGATAAACATTTTCTTTGGCCACTGTGACCTTGATCTTTTATCAGATCCTCATTTATGAAGGTCACTTTGATACATCCGAACAAATCTGTCAGTTATGAGATGTAGACGATAAAATGACCATAAAGCCGACTCAGTGAAAAAGTTTTCACTCCACAGTTGAAGTATGCACCATCTTGTCTTCTTTGCACCTTTCATTTAGTCTTTCAATCACATTTTCAGAGATCTGTCTGTATCACTCTTAACGTTGTTTATCAGCCGTCTGCTCATGTTTCATGGACTCACCCGCAGGACGAATACGTTTATGAGACAATTCCAACGGGCCTCACATATGTCTGGATCTGCGTTTGTGTTCTCTTCAGGAATTTATGACAATGCCAACAGGCTTCAAAAAGCTGGGCAGAGACAATGTTGTCTTTGTGTTGAGACACAGGTACAAAGTCTGAAGTTTACAAGAAAGGAGAACAAAGGGGCTAAGTGCAGAGTTTTATGTGTCATGACGAGTACATTTGTCTCTGATGGATGATTTTTTTTTTTTTTTTCTGGTCCACAAATCATTTCCACCTCCACAGGTGTGTCTACACTTGTCTGTAGAGGTCTGATTTCAGCTTTCTAAGCTGATGTCACTGTGATGAATCAGCAGGCTTGTTGTGAGCTGCAGCAGCCTGCAGGTCGCCTGGCACACACTGAACCTTTCTGCAGCTTTTATGTTGATCCAGGTGATGGATGAAGAGTAAACAGTCACACCCTGCTCTCAGAGCGGCTAAAAAAAAAACACAGCAGTGACTCCTTTTCATTACAAGTAGGAAGGTAACACCCCAGCATGGAGGAGAGATAATGGCTGACAGAAATGTTACCTGATGTGACCTTGCTGCTAATATCCACGGCTGTTACGTGTGTGTTTACATTCTCTTCTGATTGGATGTAAGTTCTATGTTTAACGAACATCTAGAACTAACCGAGGTGTTATACTTATATCCCTGAAGCAAGTCTTCGTACCGTTCCTAAGCATGCTTCACCACCTAAGTCTTAAGCATGGTACACTTCCTCGGCCCTGGCACGCTTTGACCCCGCCCCCCCTTCCGTCCGACCGACCGAGATAGTTTTCCTGATGTGAGCTGCAGTGCTAAGGGTTCTGACCCCTACTACCAAAAACTAAAGCTTGACTTTTGTCAGCTTGTAGAGGAAACCTCATCTGACAGCCGTCACTCTCGGTGCCCTGCTGAACGTTGCAGCATTACTGATGTGAAACCCAAAGTTTGGCATTGAAAGTAAACAAAGAAAAATTAGAAACGAGAAAGAGAAAAGAGGAAGAGGAGTAAGCATGAGGACACTGGCAGACAGGATGGTGATGAACGTAGGTTAAAGGGCCCTCCAATTAATTTTTGCCGAAGGCCCCAACAGACTCTAGAATCGACGCTGCCTGTAAGCCAAAAGTGATGTGAAATCCAAATCCTCCCTGATTTGTGCACGGACGATTTAAATCTCTGCAGTTTTTGTTTGAGGTTTTTTTGTTGGAACAAGTCGTTGAAAAATGAAACTTTCAGTGCTGGGAGCCTTCACTTTAAAGCTCTAAAAACAAACATGGAAGACGGCTGATAAACAAAGTTAAATGTAAAGAAGGATGCTTCAAGCTTTTCTGTGCACGACCCAGAACGACTTCTTCTCCTGATGTACGAGAGAAACTCGCAGAGCTCATTTGTGTATGATTTCTTTGTCTAACGAGAGTGAATGTGTAACACAAATGTTGACTGACACTAACCTTCATCATCAGCTGTACTCACCTTCAAGGTAATTTATTTTCACTTCAGTCTCCGATCTATTCATGGGTTGGTTTCCAAATAAATTCTGACATTTCATTTAAATATTTTTCTGTGTTCTGAGATTCATTTCCTCCATGTTTCATTTCTTTAGAAGCTTTCTTTAAGTGTTATCATTTATCATTTTGAAGCTGATTGTGCTGATTGATTCAGCATGTTTTAGATTTCAGCCTCATGGGTTAAAAAAAGTCTCTGCACACCTGAATGTTTGACAGGTGCATCGGAGGAGGTCGAATTTAAAGAGCCCCGCAGACGGTCTCGTTTTACGCTGGCATTTATTTGATCATACAACATTTTGACAGATGATCTGTTGAGACGGTGTGCGGGACCCTTTCTCATTTTATTTAAGGACACAGGAACGACAAGAAAGAAGCATTTCATTGAACTTGAAAATATAATTTGTGATAATAAACCTGTTGTTTTAAAAATAGACAATTTAAATTTAGCAACGATTAAAATGCAGAAGGCGGCATAATTGGAAACCAGCGACTTTGTTTCCCTTAAACACAGATAAAAGGACTTTGACTTTCACCTACAACCCTGCAATGTGTAAATAAACATTTTCTAGCTTTTAAGTGGTTGGTGCATTGAGGCTTAACATCCTCGAGTGCGGACGGCACAGGTTTGATCCCCAGCTTCTGCAGCCACATGTCCGATATGTCCTTGGGCTAGACACTTAACCCCAAATTGCTCCCGCTTGTCAGCGTATGAATGGGATTAGTTTATACTGATGGCCACTTTACATAGCAGACTCTACCATCAGTGTGTGAATGTGTAGATGTGACGTGCGGTGTAAAAAGCTTTTTGAGAAGTTGGAAGCCTAGAAAGTGCTATACAGTACAAGTTCACGTCCATTAGTCCATATACGTGGTAGATTGTCGATTGAAGGTTTTATCTGCCTCGATATATATTGACTACTGAACTGTTTTTAAAACCCTTGAGTAGCAGTTAACAACATTATCCTTGCTGGAGTTGACACGAAAGACAAATTAGTAACAGATAAAAGAAGAGACTCCTATTCCTATAAACTGGTGTCAAAACTCTCATTATCTAACTTCACAATTTTGTTTCTGACACCTACATGGTTAAAAACTAAAAAATACACAACTTTGGTACTACTTTATGGGAATCCTAGTGATGTAATCTTTCAAATTGTTGCAGTTTTATACTGAAATGTAAATATATCCTCCCTGAATTATTCAAATAAAAAAGTACATACATGGCTCAAGGCCGATGTGAACATTTGGGTGCTATAATTGTTCAGCTGTTGTTTTTGGATTCAATTTAATTAAAGTGTAAACTTAAAAGATTTGTCAATTTATAATTCATTGATTTAAGTAAAACTAAACCATATGACAGCATGTAACATAATGTGTGGAGTGAGTTTAAAAAGTCAAAAAAATAGTAGGGGATCCAGGATGGAGCCCTGTGGAACTCCAATTTAATTATTCTTAATTGCAAGAGTTCCAAAAGCTAAAACGCTGTGTCAAAGGTTCGTTTCAGGATCTAAAAGGGAAAATTTTATTTAATAGCCTTTTCTAAATCAAATTTAGTGATATCATTTCTTGTTGGCTCTTTCAGGTGAATGTGGGTAAAGGCAGCCACCCCAACAAGGTGAAGGTGTCCGGTCCTGGAGTGGCGAAAACAGGACTGAAGGCCAACGAGCCCACACACTTCACCGTGGACTGTTCTGGAGCTGGAGACGGTAACACACACACCACACACGCACACACACAAACACACACACACACACACACACACACACACACACACACAAACATGTGCACGCTAACACACGGCAAAAGTTAAGACAGGGAATCACCGCAGTCAGTTTTATTGGGTGTGAAAGCTGTTGCCATTTGTGTGCAAACAACACACACAAAAGGAGCCTCACACTTAAAAGTTTACACACTCTGCAATGTACCAGCAAACTCTTTTTAAACTGCCTTTGGAAGATGTTTACACACATTCCATTGCCTGGTATGTCCTGGTGATGATCTCAAGCCAGAAACATGCTGACAGGAAATTCATCACTCTGACCTTCGAGAGCAGAGAAGCACACACAACTGATCATACTTTTCATCCACCTGCACCGATGAAGAACACGAACAGATACTATTGCAACTTTTCGAACTTTCGACCATCATGTTAAAGTAACGCATAAAATCCTGCACACATATTTAGCTATGTATATATTTGTTATAATGCAGCACAGACCTGGAAATTATCTCCCAGGTGATGTAACATGAGCCCAGACTCTGACTACCTAAGTCCAAGCTTCATTTTTAAACAGAGCTTTCAGAATTTTTAACTTAAGTACACATCTAATAAATATCAGATGAAACACCTGTTTCAATTCTAAAGACACCCAATGTCTTGGTGTTGAAACATCAAAAACTGCTAGCCCTCTCCTGCAGTGCAAACTGTAATTGAAAACATTTGTTTGCAATGCTTTGGTATCAAAATGTTTATAATATGCTTTTATATTTAGGTCTTGAGTGGTTTGGGTTTTCTTTCACCATGTCCTAATGTTTATGGGGAGAGGGCAGACTTGGAGGGCAAAACAAACACCTAGCTGTGGGAGTGTCACCCACCTGGGGGAGGGGTTACTGCCCTTTGTGATGTCATGAAGGGAAACTCACCATACGGCCTGTTTGAGCACACATTTTCGGAAAAGTGGAGCAGGTAAAAGACGGAGAGGATGGACTTTTCTCATCATTGGGGGGTTTGTAGACAGAAGAGACACATAATTGTGTTCCAAAAGATGGTGAAGTGGATTTTGCTGAATATGTGACATTTACATTTCAAGATTTTGGGAGGGATTTTCACATTAGACTATCAAGAGCTCTGTTGTTGCTCGACCTAACTCGGCATAGTGTCAGTCCAGTCCTACTCTTTGTAATTTTAAATCTGTGTTTGATTTATTTTTGTTCATCACTCTGTAAAACAGGCTGAATTCCATATTAAGTATGCTATACATTTTAATGTATGTAACACAGATTAAGAGAGAATATAATGTGAGTAGAACTTAAGAAGGAACATGCTAACATGTTTTTAATGTTTGCGAGGTCAAAGTAATGACTGAAGTTTTAACAACCTAGATTTCCGTTTTTGTCACACTCGTGTGTGTTGCGTTCTGAGGAAACAAAGGGAGTCTGTAGATAAAGAAAGGAGAGAGAGGAGTGTACAGAGAGAAGGCGGTTGAAGAATTTGACCTGTTTCTGTTGGGTGACACCGTTTCTCGCTTCATCTCTCTCATGTTTTGAATTCCTCTGCTGTGATTGACGACTTACAGCTCGATGTTTACACTAGACAGAAAAGCATCACTGTTGCACAAAGTTTTCTGACATGAATTATAAAAGGAATGACCAGAAGAAGACAAAGATGCTCTTGCACCTCCTTGTGGACACTGTCTGAAAGAAATAAGCTGCACATCAAGGATTAGGGAAGGCACACTTACATTCACACCTAAGGGCAATTTTAGAGTCACTAATTAACCGAGTAACAAGTATGTCTTTGGACTGTGGGAGGAGCCTAGAGAACCCACACATGCACGGGGAGAACTACTGTGCATCCTCCTAATGTTGTCCTTTCAGTTTATATAATGTGTGTCTGTGTGTGTGTTTATTCAGGTGATGTCAGCGTGGGCATTAAGTGTGAGGCCAACATGGTCGGTGACAAAGAGGCTGACGTGGAGTTTGACATCATCCCGAACGCCAACGACACATTCACGGTCAAATACATTCCTCCTGCAGCTGGAAAACTCACAGTTAAAGTCCTGTTCACTGACAAGGTACACACACACACACACACACACACACACACACACACACACACACACACACACACACACACACACACACACACACACACACAGCTCTTTCTTTAATCTTTGGTTGAATTTGTGAAGATGTTGGCGGTTTGTTCTGATGAATTTCTCCACACAGGAAGTCCCACAGAGCCCCTTTAGCGTCAAAGTCGAGCCGTCTCACGATGCATCAAAAGTCAAAGCAGAGGGTCCTGGACTGGCTCGCACCGGTGAGACAGACACACACACACACACACACAAACGCACACACGCACACACGTGCAACTTTATTCAGTTTGATGTTTTTCTAATTCCTGATGTGTCTGTGTGGTTTCTCGTTCTCCACCTGCGCAGGTATAGAGAGCGGTAAGCCGACTCATTTCACAGTACTGACTAAAGGAGCGGGAAAAGCCCCACTGGATGTTTCCTTCTCCTCACCGGTCAAAGACTTCGACATCGTCGACAACTACGACTATTCCCAGACCGTCAAATACACACCTGCACAACAGGTACATGATGTTTGCAACACACACACACCTGCACAACAGGTACATGATGTTTGCAACACACACCTGCACAACAGGTACATGATGTTTGCGACACACACACACCTGCACAACAGGTACATGATGTTTGCAACACATGCGCACCTGCACAACAGGTACATGATGTTTGCAACACACACCTGCACAACAGGTACATGAGGTTTGCGACACACACACACCTGCACAACAGGTACATGATGTTTGCAACACATACACACCTGCACAACAGGTACATGATGTTTGCAACACATACACACCTGCACAACAGGTACATGAGGTTTGCGACACACACACACCTGCACAACAGGTACATATTGTTTGCAACACATACACACCTGCACAACAGGTACATGATGTTTGCAACACATACACACCTGCACAACAGGTACGTTAGCCTCAGTGAATACATGCAGAGGCGTCATGTGTTCACCTGTCAGAAGTCACTCTAAAGGGCGTCTCAAGCCAAGGAGTAAAACTGAAGGGGAGCAAAATCGCTCACCTTAAGTCATGAAACATTTTGTCCTCAGGGAGAGATGACGATCTTGGTGAAGTTTGGAGGAGATCCCATAGCAAAGAGTCCCTTCAAGGTCGACATCGCTGCCCCGCTGGATCTGAACAAGGTCACCGTGGACAACATGGAAGGAAGTAAGACATCATCTATTCTCTTCACATTTAAATGTAAAAATAAAACTTTTTAAAATGTCCAGAACAGCAACGACGCACCAGAGGAAGTCACATTCTTTACACTCTCTGCAAAACAAGTTTTTAGTGATTAAAGCTTCTTGACAACCTGGAGAAGATGAATTAGCAGTTTAATGATAAACTGATGAATGTCTTTCAGGAGTGGAGGTGAATCAGGAGCAGCAGTTCATGGTGGACACAAAGGCTGCAGGAGGTCAAGGTCAGCTGGAGGTGGCAGTGGTGAGTGACGCTGAATGCAACATTTATGTCCAATATGTCACTAGGATTTTGATTTGATTTTACTCGGGATCAGCCATCAGTTTAGAATTGTTTTAATTCTGTTTTTGATGTGTTTAGAGATCATTGTAGATGTGGAAGGCCCGCATAAAAGTTAAAATGAATGAATGATTGAGTCAAATATGAGAAACTGACATTTCTCACTGTGTTGTTGTGTTCCTGTGTGTGTAACCAGCTGAGTCCCAGCCAGAAGGCCGTCCCCTGTAAGACAGAGCCTCAACCCGGTAAAGCCGGAGTCAGTCGGGTCCGGTACACACCCACAGAGGAGGGGGTCCACGCTGTCAACGTGTCCTATGACGGACACCCCATCCCGGGGAGCCCCTTCCCTGTGGAGGCCCAGCTGCCTCCAGACCCGAGCAAGGTAAAAAAATCAAAACCAACATTTCCAGTTTATTCTGCGTTCTCTGTCATCAAGAGAAGACCGACCTGGAAAACATACAAACCTAACCCTATAAAATGTAGAAAAAAGACTGGGACAATGTAGCTCAGATATTTTTCTCAATTTGATTGTTGTGAGTTTAGAAATTCTTACAGCTTAAATAAAAAACTAAAATTATATGAAACGAGGATGTCGTTAAATTATACCTGAAAACTATCAAATAAAACTTGTTGTGTATCTTCTAAAAATGCATTCAAAGTTTCTTCACGGCTTCTTCATCATCCTGTCCGTCTCTCTCCAGGTAAAGGCTTTTGGTCCCGGTCTGAAGGGAGGTCTTGTGGGAAACCCTGCAGAGTTCACCATCGACACAAAGGGTGCTGGCACCGGAGGTCTAGGCCTGACGGTGGAGGGTCCGACCGAGGCGAAGATCGAATGTTGTGACAACGGAGACGGGACCTGCTCTGTCTCCTACCTGCCCACCGAGCCCGGAGACTACCTGGTTAACATCCTGTTTGAGGAGGTCCACATCCCGGGCTCTCCGTTCAAATCTGACATCCAGATGCCGTTTGATCCCTCTAAGGTGGTGGCATCAGGGTCGGGCCTGAAGAGAGCGAAGGTGAGGCTCAGGGGAGGACAATATAACACCTGATAAAACATTCAGTGGTGGAAATGAGTCAAATGAAGTTGCAGAAAGTTGTGGTTTTTGTTTTATTTTATTTTATTTGTTTGTTGAAGAACATTGAGGAAAACATCAAAAGAAAACTCTGAAACTAATTCCTGCTCCCTCCAGTTCTCAGATTTTATTTAAAAAAAGGGATCGATGAAGACCTATTCCATTCCCTGTCTGATCCACCTTGTGTTGTTTCTGCAGGTTGGAGAGACCAGTGTGGTGAATGTGGACTGCTCCCAGGCCGGACCAGGAGAACTCAGCCTGGAGGCGGCACTAGACACGCCCCCGAGCAGTCCCACTGGTTCTGCACCACGTTCAGGTAACATGAGCATCCTCCCAGATCCAGTTTTCTGATCAGTATTTCATCATATACTGAATTTAATGTATGCCAGGTGACGGCAGAAAGTACCAGATGTTAATGTGAAGTATTATGGGTCACATCGGCGCCTCCTCTTTCTCTGCTCCTCTCCTGTTAGCTCTCTTAAAGTCACTTCATCATGTTGATATAAACCCAAAGCACATATCACATTCAAATTAAGCTCAAAACTAATCAAAACTACTCTGCATTGTACTTCTTAAAAAGAACAAAATAAAATGTCAACGACAACAAAATGTCAAAAGATTGTCCTTTAGTTGTTGATATTATCAGATTTTACTTATGGAAACAAACGGTTGTCATAAAGGAGAAACATCACGAGCATAGTCCTTTAACTGTCTGATGGGTAAATGTAACTTTTACAGGTGTCACTTGTTTGAACGTGCAGAAAATAACTCCTGTGTTTGAGATATTCAGACTTCACCTCTGAGGAAATGTTAACCTGGGTCTGTTTCTTCCAGGTGTTAAAGCGAAGACGGAGGTGGTGGACAACAAAGACGGGACCTACACTGTGACCTACGTCCCCCTGACCTCGGGCATGTACACGCTGCTGCTGAAGTATGGAGGAAAGGCAGTTCCTGGTTTCCCCGCTAAAGTCACGGCTGATCCCGCCGTGGACACCTCCAAGGTCAAAGTGTTTGGACCCGGCGTGGAGGGAAAAGGTAGAAGTATGACCCAACTTCACAAGAAGGTCATCCAGGTTATTTTCACAGACTTCATGAAGATTCTTCGTCAACGGGAAGTCCTTAAACATTCCTTTTGTGTTTTCTCTCCTCCAGCCATTTTCAGAGAAGCCACCACAGCGTTCACAGTGGACGCCCGTCCTCTGTCCAAGCGAGGAGGAGACCACGTGAGGGCGGAGGTCAAGAACCCGTCTGGAGCTCTGACAGATTGTGAGGTCGCTGACAACGGCGATGGGACCTACGGCGTCGAGTATACGCCTTTTGAGAATGGTACCACACCTGTTGCACCTAAGCATGGACTCAAACTGTTATTCACAAATCTGCACTCACTACTAAAGTCCACTGCTGTGATGTCAGCTTAAATCCGCCCGCTGCCTCTCTTGGTGTTTATTTCAGGAGCCCACAGCGTCCAGGTTCTGTATGACGACACTCCGGTTCCAAAGAGCCCGTTCAGGGTGTCCGTGACCGAGGGGTGCGACCCCAGCAGGGTGGTGGCTACCGGCCCGGGACTCCAACAAGCCCTGACTGATAAACCAAACAACTTCAACATCATCACCAGGTACCGCTGATCAAAAAGGAACTCAGACTGTGAAGCCATGTTTTGAAGTCCCATTTTGAGAGAGTTGAGCCTGAGGACAAACTTTAGCTGATACTTGTGTTCTCGTCGCCCCTTCACCAGAGGGGCAGGTATCGGGGGTCTGGGCATCACCGTGGAGGGTCCGTCAGAGTCGAAGATGTCCTGCAAAGACAACAAAGATGGCAGCTGCAGTGTGGAGTACGTCCCCTTCACACCTGGCCTTTATGACGTCAACATCACTTACGGAGGAGAGCACATCCCCGGTGAGATTTTTTTAACTTTCATTCACTTTCAGAACAAAGATTTCCAGCTGACTTTTTATTTTTTTTTATCTGTGACTGTAAGAACAGTGTTTCCATACTGAGACCTCCCTCGCATTATTCTCACGATGTGTGGAAACATTGTTTTTAACCAATCAGTTCAGAGTCAGCCTCCTTTTTTCTAAAATCGTAGACCCACCATTTTGATCCACACACATGTCGACTGCAATTTTTTTCAGCAGCAGGACAAAGTTCGCCATTCCATGCTCAGAGCTCATCACTCCTCGCAGATTTATTTAATATGCAGAAATTTAAGGCGGGGTTACATTAAGTTAACGTTACAACTGTAGTGGTCAAAACTTTAGAAGTTACTCTGAGACAGCATTTCTAGCATGGAGACCGCCATCGATGAGCCTCCAAAGCCCCCCTGCAGGAACAGATGGGTGACATCACTCAGGCCTCGTCCAATAATATTTACAGTCATATTATCTAAACAGTCGCTGAAAATGTCCTGGAATATGAACTCTAGAAACGAGTGGGAACCTTGAAACATTAAAGTTGTCCGTTTCAATTATGGGATGGTATAATTTTAACTCTCAAACTCAAACTGTCTTTGTTTTGTTGAAGTGAGGGGACATTTGTTCCCTGCACCCATTCAACAGCTTTTCATTTCCGTTCTTTAACGTTGATATCCTTTTAACATCTTGTGCTCTCGTTTCCAGCTTATAAAACCACCACTGATGCAAAAAGACTAGGAGGATGTTTACAAGTTAGAGCTTAAAAGATGTTGGAGTTATTGGTCGATTTAAGGCGTGCAGAGTGTGTCAGTGTGATTGTTTTAAAGATGTGGTTCAGCTTCCAAAAGCCGCAGCTTTGTTTTATTGACGTGGTTCAGGAAACACTCGTCGTGTTTAACACCTTTAAAACACACAGATGTTTGTTTATTGGTCGGATGAGTGAGGAAATCAGCTAGAGGTACAAAAAACCACATTAACCATAAACCCTTTCACACTTTAAAATAAGCCATCAGTGAAACTAGTTGCCCCAGACGTCCCTCTCCCCCACAATGTTTTTCAGCTCCTCCTAGGGAAACCTGAAGCATTCCCAGGCCGGATGAGATATGTCATCCCTCCAGCGAGCTCTGGGTCTACCCCGGGATCTCCTCAAAGTTGGGGGTGCCTGGAAAACCTCCAAAGGGAGGCGACCAGGAGGCAACCTGATCCAATGCCCGATCTTCCCCAACTGGCTCCTTTTGTTGTCTAACTATAAAATTTAAAGAAAACTTTATTGAGATGCTTAAATCAGGGGGGAGGAATGCAGGAAAGGATCCCCAGGTCGGACTTAAACCTTTAACCCTAACCCCCCCCCCCGGGGAGGACTTCAGACTCAGTACATGTGACAGGCCGTCGTAAACGTCTTGAATTTTAATGTCTGTGTTTCTTTCTTCCTGTTTCCTCTTCAGGAAGTCCATTCAAGGTCCCAGTGACAGACGTGGTTGACCCCAGTAAGGTCAAGGTGTCCGGTCCAGGAGTGGGTTCAGTGTGAGGGCTAATATCCCACAATCCTTTACTGTGGACTGCAGGAAGGCGGGTGTGGCTCCGCTTGCCGTCGCCGTCACCGCTCCTAAAGGCCTCGCAGAGCCCGCTGAGGTGAAGGACAACGGGGACGGGACCCACTCTGTGTCCTACACGCCGTCTGTGGAGGGGCCGTACTCTGTGGCCGTCAAGTACGCAGAGGAGGACGTCCCCCGCAGGTACAGAGAAGTACTGTCGCTATGACAACCGTCTCCTGCTGTATGAAAGTGAAGCCCCTGTGACAGATGAATGTATGGAGTCAGAGTCTGTTCAGAGGTCGATTGGTGGACTGGCACTGGTATTTGATGACTATTATGATATTATAGTTTCACCCATGTCCCATTTGGTAGCATGTAGGAGGCGGGGCTTATGGCCTATACTGCAGCCAGACACCAGGGGGAGCGCTAAATCTTTTGTCTTATGATATTTGCCGTCTGGGATCAGCCCTCAGTGTGTCTGTTTATTCTTCAGTCCCTTCAAGTTTCGGGTTCTGCCGACTCACGATGCCAGCAAAGTGCGAGCAAGCGGTCCTGGCCTAACAACCGGCGTCCCCGCCAGCTTCCCCGTCGAGTTCAACATCGACGCTAAGGACGCCGGCCAGGGCCAACTGAGCGTGCTAATCACCGTCAGTAAAACACACCCCAATTCATACATTTAAAAAACTACCAACAACGCAGAAATCGAACGTAAACTGTCTGTCCTCGCTCCTTCTTTTCTTGTTCTCTTTTTTTTCTTCTGCAGGATCCAGATGGTAAACTGAAGCAGGCCAGTATCCATGACAACGGAGACGGTACATATCGGGTGTCTTACATCCCCGACCGCACAGGCAGATACACCATTGTCATAAAGTACGGCGGTGATGACATCCCTGCATCGCCCTACAGAGTCCGCGCCACGGCATCTGGAGACGCCAGCAAGTGCACCGTCACCGGTACGAGAACACCGCTTACATTCAGACAGAAAAATACAACATCGAAAACATTTAGGGAGGAAGTATCTTTAAAAAAAATCCTCCGCCCCCTTCCCTCAGGTCCAGGAGTTGGTCCCACGGTGGCCATCGGCGAGGAGGTGGGCCTGGTGGTGAACACTAAGGGTGCTGGGAAAGGGAAGGTGAGCTGCGTGGTCGTTCAGCCCGATGGCAGCGAGGTGGAGGCCGAGGTGCTGGAGAACGAGGACGGCACCTTCGACATCTTCTACACCGCGCTGGCGCCTGGAAACTACGTCATCTACGTGCGCTTCGGAGGGGAAAACATCCCACGCAGTCCCTTCAAAGTCATGGTGAGAGAGGGAGGCCCGATGGCGTTTACGCGTGGGTTCATTTCTCTCTTTTTAGGGATGCAAAACGCGAGCTGAAACGTCACGCATCGCATCTGGACATCTTCAAATCTGAAAGCAGTTCAGACCCCCCCCCCCCCCACCCCCCAGACATAAGAGAACGGCCCCTCTTATGTATTTACTTTTTATTACTTTTTTATATTTTAAAAATGAACCAGAAAGACAAGGCCACACTTTTGCAGTATAGACACATAGTCCCCTCCGAGTAAAGTATGTGTGTGTTCATGTGTGTGAGGTCAGATGTTAACCCTACCTGTCGTGTCTTCAGGCGACTGATGAGGTACCCATTATTCAAGAGCAGACATCTCTACAACAAAAGGCCGGCCCACCCGGAGCTGGCTTCCAGCCCTGGGTACCTCCAACACACACACACACACACACACACACACACACACACACACACACACACACACACACACACACACACACACACACACACACACACACACACACACACACACACACACACACACGCACTGCTCCTCTCTCTTGCAGGTGAATGGCTGCTGAATCAAACTCGACCCATCTCTCTCTCCCCGCCTCTGCATTATAAAGTGTCCTTGCTCGACCGCTTTGCCCCCTTCATGTCATCCCTTCTCCTTTTCCTCTCAGCCAATGGGGATCGCAGAAAAAACGTCTAACAACTTTGGAAAAGAAGTTGCTATGGTAACGGGTGTGCGAGTATTTGCTGCAGTGGTCCTCCTCTCTTGTCTCTTTCTCTCCTCTTCCTCTTTGCACTCTTCATCGCTCTGGCTGCATCACAGAGAACATGACGTTATACCTCCTCTACTCTCCCCTGTTTCAACGCACTTCATTTCCCAGGATGCCCCTGTGCCGGGCTGGCGGGGCTTATTTTTTGCAGCAGCAGCATCAGCAGCATGTTTCTAACGCAGGTGGCTGAGAGGTGGACAGGAAGTTGTTTTAAAGTGATGGAGAAATGTGCTGAAATTGGTCGTTGTGTGTCTCGTCCAGGTGACATCAGAGCCAATCGGGAGCAGCGTTAATGGAAGCGGCTTCAGACCGTTCGACATGGTGATACCTTTCTCCTTCAGGAAGGGAGAAATCACAGGTGAGGGAGGGATGAATGAACCTAACTCTGTTTAACCTGTAATAACTTTAACAAAGTGATGAGTAGTCTCTGTTCCTTTAAATGCATTAGAGGTATAACAGTTCATAACGATTAATAATAAACTTTGCTTTACTCTTTGTCTCTCTATCCCTCTCATTCTCTCTTTCTCTCTCCCTCTCTTTCTCTTTCTCTTTCTCTCTCTCCTCTCTCTCTCTCTCTCTCTCTCTCTCTCTCTCTCTCTCTCTCTCTCTCTCTCTCTCTCTCTCTCTCTCTCTCTCTCTCTCTCTCTCTCTCTCTCTCTCCCTCTCTCTCTCTCTCTCCTCTCTCTCTCTCTCTCTCTCTCTCTCTCTCTCTCTCTCTCTCTCTCTCTCTCGCTCTCTCTCTCTCTCTCTCTCTCTCTCTCCTCTCCTCTTCTCGCTCTCTCTCCCTCTCCCTCTCGTTCTCTCTCTCTCTCGCTCTCTCCCTCGTTCTCTCTCTCTCTTTCTCTCTCTCTCTCCCTCTCTCTCTCCCTCTCGTTCTCTCTCTCTCTCAGGTGAGGTGCTGATGCCTTCGGGTAAATCCGCTCAGCCGGTGATCTCGGACAACCTGGACGGGACGGTCACAGTGCAGTACTCGCCCACTGAGGCCGGCCTGCACGAGATGCACATCAAATACAACGGCACACACATCCCAGGTCAGAACACACACACACAGATAAACCCACACACAGAAACCTGTGAAGGTCTAATGATGGTCGATATGTGTGTGTGAGCTTAATTTTGAATGTCGGAGCTTGCTGAGACATCAGAGAAGAGGGGATTTGGCCCCAGGTGTGTCCTGGCTCTTGCTGCCCATTGGTCTGATGTTGGGTTGAGAGCACTAATCAGGTCCATGTGTTCAGGGTTTGTCACTGCCTTGTTGGCTCGCGTCAAAGGAGTTGCAGCGGCAGCTCGAAGCCGTGTGTTAGGTCACTTATCAGTGGGGGCATGGGGGTTTGGTTTGGACGGGGGGGTTCTTCACTGGACGCTTGTCCATTTATTGGAACACGATTGGGTAAAGCACGTTGTTTTAAAAAGTTATTTTACTCGTTTCAAATCTAAACTCGGAATAACGACTTCATTAGACACCTGACTTTCTATCTGGAGGCCCTGTCATTTGACCTTCTTCAAACTGTTGAAGCAAAGCTGGAGAAAAGCGTTGTTAAGAGCATCATTGTTCACAGCAGCATTAAGATCTCTCTTCACATGAGTCAATGCACACCAAACTAGGAGATTAAAAATCCTCGAGAGGAGATGATCCATACTTTTTATTAACGCGTCTTAAAATCATGCAGTCTGTTATTCTAATAATCAGTGGTGTCGTAAAGTACTAAAGCTTTAAACAAGCTGCATATTTTCAGACATATTTTTAACCAAAACTGCAGCGAGAAAACCACCAGAGAGCACGGGTTAAATTGCACAAATACTGTTCAAGCCTTCTATTTGTGCATTTTTTCTAACCAAATATTGTGTGTCTAGGACTTTTATTTCTGTTCCTGCAGTATTTACACAGGCTCTGATATTGTTTGATTTTATTGGTAACATATCCAAGTTAAAAAATTACATGACCCTAAGAAGAAACACCCCAAAGAATATGGCCTTCTGAATAAAAACGGCCCTACCTCTCGTTTCTTGTACATTTTTTTGCAGTGCTGATGTTGTGTTTCTGTGTGCTTGTTGCAGAGTCTCCCCTCCAGTTCTACGTCAATCACTCCAGTAGTGCCAATGTCACCGCCTACGGTCCTGGCCTGAGCTACGGCGTCGCCATGAAGACGGCCTCGTTCACCGTCTTCACAGACGACGCCTCTGAAGGTGGGTTAGCTGTGAATAACGACATGTGATCGCTGTACGAGCTTCAGGCTGTGTGTTTGTACAATTTATTACAAAGAAACAAACTCCTGCAGCCTAAAGTGACCAAGAAAAAATATGAAATCTTAACATAAGTAAGGATGGAACCTCTTCATCAGTGTGGGGGGTAGAGTGGGTCATCTCTGTCAACCTGAAGGTCGGGGGTTCGATTCCCAGCTCCTGCAGCTACATGTCCGATGTGACCTTGGACAGGACACTTAACCCCAAGTTACTCCTGCAGCTTCATCTGCAATGTATGAATTTATGTGAATGAAGGAAGGGGCGTCCAAAACGGCCGTGTGGGGGTCGCCTTGAAACCGCCTACCTTCTCTGGTCCAAACAAATCCAGATCATTCAGGACCAGAATCTAAAGTTAGAAGGAGGACATACTGGCTGCTGCATTGTTGTCAGAGAAGCCAGCACTTCAACATAGCATGTTTCCTTAATGTCTGATCATATAGTAAGCTCACTTTATCATTTCACTCTCTACACATCTCACTGATTGGACCTTTAATTTTTTATATATTCCTTCGCAAAGTCCAAGGAATTTAGGAGCTTTTGCAAGAGGGGTCCACACCAGAGGATGATGCTATATGGGGGTCTTTAGCACAGCATAGATTGGAAACCTGAGCTGTCAGTATGTTTAGCAGTAGCAGCAGAGGTATTAGTGATATTACTCTCATTACTGATATTGATCATTGTTCCAGTGTGACCATGTTATTGTGGAGTATGAAATCCATTCAGTGTGTCTGTCTGAACGTCCGTCTGTCCAGGCGGTCTGGACTTGGCGATCGAGGGTCCGTCCAAAGCGGACATCAGCTGTGTGGACAACAAAGACGGGACGTGCAGCGTCAGCTACCTGCCCACTCTGCCCGGAGACTACAACATCCTGGTCAAATACAACGACGAACACATCGCAGGCAGCCCGTTCACCGCCAGAATCACACGTGAGACACACGCACGCACACACACACACACACACACACACACACACACACACACACACACGCCAACACAAACACGCACATAAACACGGCAACACACATACCAACACACACACACAAACACACACATGCCAACACACACAAAACACACACACACACACCAACACGCCACTACATAAGCAGATATTTGAATAAAACTTTATTGCTTATGTTGTACGAATGTTATTTATTGCTTATGTTGAAATACGGTATGATTTATGACATCATTTTAAAACCGGAGAAATCCGAATTTCAAGATCCATACAGAAAAAACTAAACTACCAGAACTCCATATTTAATAACAGATCAGGTGTGCCAATTTAATTACATTAAAATATAAAATGAGTCTTCCCCTAAGTCCACGCCTGGTGTGTTTGTGTTTCAGAGGACAACCAGCGGCGCTCTCAGGTCAAACTGGGCTCGGCTGCCGATTTCTCTCTGGACATCAACGAGACCGACCTGAGCCTGCTGAGCGCCACCATCAAGGCGCCATCCGGCCGCGACGAGCCCTGTCTGCTGAAGAGGATGGCGAACAACCACATCGGTAACACACAAACCCGTACACACAAACACACACACATTTATAAGACGGTGCACACTCTTAAAGTTAAAGGGACAAAATATTTAGCTCTCTACCTCCATCGCCCCCCCGTCCCCCCCTCCTCTATTTATGTTGTCCATCTCTCCGCCTCTTCCTCTCAGGTATCTCCTTCATCCCCCGCGAGGTGGGAGAACACAAGGTCAGCATCATGAAGAACGGCCGTCATGTCCCAAACAGTCCCATCACCATCATGGTCGTCCAGTCCGAGATCGGAGACGCCAGCCAGGTCAAAGCCCACGGAGACGGCCTCGTCCAGGGAACAACCTTCACTGACGCCAGCTTCGTGGTCGACACGCGGGATGCCGGTCAGTATGGAAAACTCCTACTCGTCATCACTGTTGATTATTTAACGGTTTAAAGGTCTTTTCTTTTTCTTTTTTTTTTTTTAAAGGCTAAAGAATTTTTCACTTTATTTGTGGTGCTATTAAAATTAAAACTATATCGTTACCACGGCAACAAATATATAATTCCAAGGTAACAAAAATTGGGTACTTTCTTGAATTTAATAACCCATTTTTGTACCGAAAAAAAAAATGTAACTTCAAGTTAGAAAAATGACTGAACTACTATTGATCTTTTTAAAGTTTGTATTGTTTTGAGACACTCGGTGTCAAAAAGTAGAACTTGGCCGATTAATCAACCATGTGAAAACACCAGCAGAGGGCGCTATATGGATTTCAACAAGCATCAGATTCTCTCTCTCTTAATATCACTATCCACCCCAAAACTCCAATATCGGTCAGACCCTCTCAAAACATTTCAGTAGAGTATTGAACATTTTGACAACCTTAGTCCAGACTGAAGTAAATCAACAGTTTTCTGATTGGTTGATGTGAATATAATAAACTTTAATCCTGACTCTTTTTGATTCTGAGACCATCAAGAGGTTTTCTCTCATTGTTAAAGGGGCTATATGTAAATTTTTACATGTATAAATTGTTTTTAATCGCCCATTAATAAGCGAACTGTTAACTGATGTGAAAAAGTAGATGTTCACTGTCTATCTGTGTCTGTATAAAAAGTTTCCCCGGGTCGTATTTTCCACGAAAGCTCCAGGAAGTGACATTTTATGCACGTTCTCAGCGTCCTCCTCACTCTGCTCCGCTTACAGAGATCAACAGTACAAACTCATCACACACTCCCGCTCTCAGCCAGTGCCTGCCGAGACTGTCGTTTGTAGGATGGAGATTGAATACAGACACACAGACTCCTTCACACACTTTCACATGTGTATGACCATTTACCTCCTCTGTAAACATTATGCCAGTAAATATCCAGTGTTTCGCGGCCGATGATGATGCTCGTTTGTGTACTTCCGAGCACGCGAGGGAGAGCGAGCAACAGGTTACTGGTGCAGTTCGCCTAACAGCCACTCGGTATAGCTACAAACGCAGTATTTTTGAAAGTTACATACAGCCCCTTTAAGAACGAAATGTTTAAATGTTTAAAAAGTTGTGAAATCTGTCACAGACATAACTGATATGTCATGACTTTTGTTTGATGTCAACTTAAATCAAAGTTTGCAGCCTTTACTCTGTCCGGAGAATAGTGAACACAACCAGACTCAGAGGTCAAACGTCTGTTTTCTGCTTCATTTTAATGTAAAAAATCTGTTTGCAGGTTATGGCGGCCTGGCTCTGTCCATCGAAGGTCCCAGTAAGGTGGACATCCAGACTGAGGACGTAGAGGACGGGACGTGTGGAGTCACGTACTGCCCGACTGAACCGGGAAACTACATCGTCTCGATCCGCTTTGCAGAGGAACACGTCCCGGGTACGAACCAAGTTAATTATCGACTGTTAATGTCGGAAATGTCAATAATTCTGTGTTAACTATTTAGTTTAAATGCAGGGTTTTTTATGTGCATAAATTTACATGCATAATTTATATTTCAAGGCGCCGGTAGCCTAGTGGTTGTTGATGCACCCATGCGCGGAGGATGCAGTCCTTCTAGCCGGCCGCCTTGGTTCAAATCCCACCTGTGGCTCCTCTTCCTGCATGTCGTTCCCCTCTCTCTCTTTCCCTGATTTCTGTCCTTTGTCCTCTAAATAAAGGCATAAAAAGCCCCAAAATAAATCTTTAAAAAAAGCAACTTATATTTCTGCTCTGTGTGATGAAGAAGAAGTTATGAAAACTCATCAGAATCACAGACGTATCATCCGTACATAAATTCATTTTCAAACCGACCCCTTTGACTGTGACTAAAACTAAAAGGTCAAATCGAACAGACCGTCAGTGAAGGATGAAACGCTCTTACATCCAGCAACGAGACCTTGACTGTGGGTCACTTGCATATTCATGTATTGTGTGTTTTACAAGTTGGAAGCTTTTATGAACCATAATGAAGTATGTAGTTACACAGTTTAATTTGTGATGTGTTTAATGTCAACAGGGAGTCCGTTCACCGTGCGGGTGACGGGAGAGGGTCGTATTCGAGAGAGCATTACCCGACGACAAAAGGCCGCTTCTGTGGCCAGTGTGGGGAGTGTGTGTGACCTCAGTCTGAAGATACCAGGTACACACACACACACACACACACACACACACACACACACACACACACACACACACACACAAGCCTTTCTAGACTCATGGTTTCTGACTGTAGGTCTGCAGTGGCGTTCAGTGTCCACACACACCTGCATGAGAAGTGAGGTTTTGTTTTTTCGACTTTAAAGAAAAACTTGATGAGCAGGTCATGAACTTGACTCGGCTTAATTCTGGACTTGATCCTGCATCTGGCCTGCTTCTCCTCCTTTTCTTAAACTGGTTTCTGCCTGAACCTCTGACATCTCTCTGGTTCTGTTGTTTCATACTTGGCTCCGTGTGCTGGATCGATCTTTTGTCCTTGTGTCTTAATCTCTTTTTTTTCTGTCTTTCTCTCTTCTATTCTCTTGGTCCCGACCTGCCTCCTTCTCCTTCATCTTTTTACACATCTTTTGTCCTTTTCTTCTTTTGCTTCTCTTGTGTTGTGTTCTGCTTTTTCTCAATTTCCTTCTGTAATATTTTTCCTTCCCTTGTTCTGTCTTTGTCGTTTTCTTTTCCTCTTTTCCTTTATAGCTTTCCCTTTCTTTCCTTCTCCACCTTTTGTCCTTCCACTTCTTCCTCATCCTCCATCCTTCCCTGTGTCATCCCCCCACTTTTCCTCCTCCTCTTCCTCCAGTGAGCTGGTTCCTCCTGGTCTTGTCTCGTCAGCTCCTCTCTCCCTCTCGCTCCTATTGCTCCCTCTGGTGGTCTAGAAGATCCATAGGTCGGGGGACACATTCCTCTGATGTTGCCCGGATCAGAGCCTCTCTCCTGGCCGTGTGCGCCTCATCTCCGGCCTCTCTGGTCTGGTGTTGGCAGGCAGGGAAAGAGCAGCGAAGGGCATTTGGGTCGTTGATGCCCGCTGCTCTGTGGGCGGGGCCAGGGTGGAGGGTGCGTTGTAGGTTTGCAAACATAACATGCAAATTAACATGGAGTTTGTGTATGTTGGACAACATGAAACAATCGATTTCAAGTGTTTTTAGGGATGGGTTTAATCCCAAATATATGAAACTATTACATCACATTAATTCAAATCTGCACACACAGTTAAGTGACAAAAATCAGAGAAACAACAGGTTACCATGGAGATTATCCAGTGAAGTCCACAGACACACTAAAGCACTAATAAAACTCTCTTTGCAGCCATCGACATGCACGACGTCACCGCAGAGGTCACATCGCCCTCTGGAGCCAGACAGCCTGCCGAGCTGGTCTCCGCGGGTAACGACACCTACTGCGTGCGCTTTGTGCCCACGGAGATGGGCGTGCACAGTGTGAGTGTGAGGTACAGGGGCGTGCACGTGCCCGGCAGCCCCTTCCAGTTCACCGTTGGGCCGCTGGGAGAGGGCGGGGCCGCCAAGGTGAGAGCCGGAGGACCGGGACTGGAGGGAGCACTGGCTGGGAGCCAGGTAAACACACAGAAATGCGCATATTCCATACAGAAACTTTACAACAATCATTCCCGCCTGAGGGGACCATGCTGAGCTGAATAGAATACAGACCTGTGCTTCATTTCTTTTAGTGACATGCTTCTTTTTGCTTCACTCGATCATCTTTTGTTTTTGAATGAACTTTTGTTTTTGATGCTGCAATAGATACTTTGCTTTGTAACATTCCCCTTTTTTATCCATGTACTCTAATGCTAAGTTGTCCTTTATCCATACACAGAATTACAGACAAAGTTTTTTCTTCTTTGGCAAAAATGATTATAAATAAAGTCTTATTATTTTTGCTATTTTTGTCTTAAGCTGGAAACACGCTAGACTATTTAAGGCCAGATGTTGGGCCTGTTTTACCCCCCCTCCCACAACGATCAGGGGGGCGTGGCCTGATAAACGGCTTGACAAAACCGATTATTTGTCCAAAGAATCTTAAAGTGTGTGGTATCAAGTCGGAGCGCTCCCTGATCTCGTATCATAAATATCAAACGTGATGTTGGGGCTGCCTCCGATGGATGAGGGCGAGCAAACCGGGAAGCTTCACCCACGGGACGCAGCTTACTTTTACAACTCACAAACATCACAGGGAACATAAACACAACTGAGCCCCGCACTGCAAAGTGTACAAGCCGCGCTTATACTGTCTTCTCAGCCAGGATTTCACCTTATTCTTTTTCCTCGTTTTTCGTACACCAAGACAGCCAGCTGACGTTGAATAGTCTCCATATTTTTGTCTTGTAAAGTCATGTTTGATCACGGGGGTGTCTGTGAGATCTTGGGTCTGTAGAATCACCACTGTGAAATCGTTACTACAAACAGCAGGTGTGTGGTCTCAAGGTCTGACTGAATCATGTAGTGTGTGAGGTGGTGGATTATCATGTTAAAAAAAAACGTTGAAACTGTCCCCATGTCTGTGGCCTCACATTTTGTAATGAAGGTTTTGCTCTCTGACATGATTCAACATTCAAACATTTCTTATGTTTCTCTGTTCCAGCTGAGTTCAGTATCTGGACGAGGGAGGCGGGTGCCGGCGGTTTGGCCATCGCTGTCGAAGGACCCAGCAGGGCGGAAATCTCCTTCGACGACCGCAAAGACGGATCCTGTGGGGTCTCTTACATCGCGCAGGAGCCTGGTAGAGGAAACACACGCACGTTTAACCATGATGATTTATCCGTTAAAACATCTCTCTTACACGTTCTCCACCTCGTCTCTCCAGGTGACTACGAGATTGCGGTGAAGTTCAACGACCAGCACATCCCTGACAGCCCCTACCTGGTTCCCGTGGTCGCTCCGGCGAACGATGCTCGCCGTCTCACTGTTGCCGGCCTTCAGGTGAGGCATGAGGAGACACCTCCACACCCAGCCCGCCCTGCCTTGCTAAAGGGCTCCGGGGCAAAGTTGCATAAAATTGATAAGATAAAATCCTGTTCGGAGAGGAAGAACTGAGCAAGAGGGTTCGACTGGATCTGGGTTTTAACTCACAGATATTCAGTTAAATGTCAGGATTCTGTTTGTTTGGGATCTTTGTTTTTAACACTGAGGTCAAATATACGTCGAGCAATCTTTGTAGCACGAACAAACTTTATGTTAGAAAGAAAAACAGCACTGGAGTCCACTTCAAAGAGCCATTGAGCTCGTTTTAGAGTCCAAACTAGAGCTTGTAAAATCTAAAAACTCAACAGCCTTCAACACGATATTTCATTTAGCTGAGAAGAAGTTAATTTTGTACATTTATGATCTGGTATACAATCTGTTCCAGAGTTTTCCAGAGCGCCCAGCGTCCTTTCAAATCAACTTTTCAGAAGGGTGGTATTGACGTCTCTGGCGCTCATATCAAAATATTTGATGTTCCTCGTATTTTTGTCTCCTACGGATCGAGTCGTTTACCCTCATCCTCCTCGCTCCATATCTGATCGGAGCTGTGATAGAGGAGCCGTCAAAAGCTAAATCCAAGTGCTCCCGAGCACACAGCCAGCACACTTCTGCACTAAGAAATTGGCCAGGTGGACTCAGAGACAGAAACCGCTTTGACTTGTTACAAACGTAACCATCAGGCGTCCCATAGCAGCGGCCTCAAACATCCCGTTTCAGTCGAACCCTCTCTGTCGTACTTAAATTCAGGTTACAGTTTTTGAACCTTCTTTTTATGCAACTGGCCTCTTGGATGTGACCACAGCCAGGCAAACATGTTGGTGAGTGAGTGCAGTTTACATTTTGGCCAGGAGGAGGGGCTAAAGGAAACGTCATGGGGAGTCTAAGATGGAAATGATTCATCTTTCATCCTGTTATGCTGATAAATCAGCTAATTGTTTGACTCTAAACTTTCCATTTTGGAGCCTCGATGACTCGTTCATTAGCCTCAGGAAAAAACAACGACAACAAAAACTGTCATCTTTTTTGACCCTTCCTGAAAATGCACAGCTTCAAGAAGACTTTTAATTAAATTAGTAATGATGGCTGTACTCCAGGGAAGCTAAAGAGGGGACCCCTAACAAGGTCCATCCTCTGGTTACCATGGTTACTAGAGTTTTTCACCGTTTTTGCCTGGCTCTGGTCATCCCTGTTCTGTGTGGTGTGGAACTGCTGGTGTTTCTCTTGTGTTTCATTTAAAGGCTTTTAACAGAACCTTCATCTTCCTCATCTTCATCATCGTCAGCAGCAGGAATCGTCAGCTCCTGGTTGCCTAGCTACAGCAGATGCAGGGGGGCACAGCTGACCTCCCGCTGTCTTTTAGAGACTGTAGTTTTTTTAATTGTCTATAGCTATAGGCCAAAACTTTTTCTCTGTTCAGCGTTTGGTGAAGCCGAGTCTTACAGTACAGTCGACAGGTGAAGTGCTGCTCTCTTTAAAATAATAAAATATACTTACTATACGATACTATAAGATACTATACTTAATTAATCCCATGAGGGGAAATCTAAGAACATGCTACACACACATAAGCTGAAATGCACACATATACACAAACAGGATCCTATGGACATGCATTAAAGGAGAGATGTCAGAGTGAGGCTGCTAAACAGGTAGCACACCAATAATACCCAAATAACTCTTTTGAAAGGTCCCATAAAGCCTCTTAATTTCATGTATTGTAATTATAGCTTTATGGTAACATAGTTTGTCGAGCTGAGTTAATTTTTGCAATTAAAAATGTCTCACTTTTAAAAAGTACAAAGACTGTACTTTAAAACTCTTTAGTGCATCAACGTGTCTAACTCCGCTTTCTAACACTGTGGCCGTCTGCCTCTGTCTGCTGCAGCTGCACCGACAGGAGCGCAGGTAAGAGTAGAAACAAGTCGGTACAAAACTATGGAGACAAATCATAGAAATCATAGAGAGATTAGATGCTGTACACAAGACCAGAGTTTTTTTTGTTTTCGCACTTTATTCTCCTTCACAGAGGTGAGTAGGCTTTTAATAAAACTGTTTTTTTAAATGTTAGCTAACAATTATTTTCATTAATAATTATCAGTTATTACCAGGGGCGTGTCCAGGCTTTTTGGACTGGGGTGGCCCACCTGAGGCACTGACTTATGTAGGGGTGGCCTGAAGTTTGTGGGCAAATTTACCCTTTCTTTCCCCACTTCCAATATGGAGTTGTAAGTAACACAATTTAGCAACATATTACTCTTTTTAGATGGATTCTTTAAGGACTCCAAAACAGATTTATGTGCAAAGTCACAATTGAAAGTACTTAGAAAAGTAGGCTACATGCAAACTCTTGTGAGAAGTCTGAAATTGAAAAATCAGCAGTCTCGAAAAAAGACAGAATAGTTAATTTCAATTTAAGTCCCGCCTCTGGTCAGGCAACTAGCCAATCATAGATTTGGATTTTGAGGGGATAGTTTGGGTGGCTAATCAGATTTCAAGGGGGGGGAATGCCATCCTTGGCCACCCCTCTGGACACACTCCTGGTTATTACTCATTATTTAGTCAATATATCAGTTTCCCTGTGAATAGATTTGAGGAATTGTCTATAAAATGATGAAAATGTTAATCAGTGTTTTCAAAAGCCCAAATAAAAGGTCTTGTAATTTTAATAAAGTAATCAATCAAAAGATAATCCCGTCCTTAGAGTAGTTTGACAAATCCGTCCAATCCCTGTGCTTCATTTTCAACAACACATTCTCAAATAGATGAACCAGAAAATACTTTTCTTGAAGACATGCTCTCACCAATCAACAACTCGTTGAATAATGGATCCAGCTGTGGTTGGCAAATTTTTTATTCCCCACATACACTTAACTGTGTGTCTGACCTCGGTAGGAGTCTGGTCTCAAGGTGAATCACCCAGCATCCTTTGCAGTGCGTCTGAACGGAGCACAGGGAAAGATGACGGCCAAAGTGCACAGCCCCTCTGGAGCCCTGGAGGAGTGTGTCGTCACCGAGCTCGAAAAAGGTTTGTGTGTGTGTTTTTGATGCAACGCGTGTTTGAATTCTAGAGGTCCCAAGAAGCCAGAGTGGCTGCTCGTGGTCCTGCTGATCCTCATCCACTGGTACCACTGGTTGTCACATCCTTCTGTCCTGTCCTCCAGATAAGTACGCAGTGCGGTTCATCCCCAGGGAGAACGGTATCCACACCATCGACGTCAAGTTCAACGGTTCCCATATACCAGGAAGTCCTTTCCAAGTCAGAGTAGGGGAACCAGGACAGACAGGAGAGCCTGGTCTTGTTTCGGCCTACGGTGCTGGGCTGGAGAGAGGCACAACAGGTATGTTATCTCTCTGTTCACCTGCCTCCTGAACTCTCTCAGGACTTCAGCTAATAGCATTTTTCATAAAGCAGATTTGATTACAGGTTCGCTCAGTATGCTTTATGCCGGGGGTAAAAACGTCCAAATCGTAAATAAGGCACCATGATCTTAAAGGCACCCGGCTAACATCAGACACTGAACCGTTCCATAAAGTTTCATGAACGTTTCTGTACATTTATTAAAAGGAGCCCAACATTTTAACCACTTCCTGTTATAAAGCAAAGTGTTTGAATCTCACAGGGACTCAGTCCGAGTTCATCATTAACAACACTAAGGCGGGCCCCGGGTCCCTGGGCGTAACCATCGAAGGTCCCTCCAAAGTCAAGATGGACTGTCAGGAAGTCCCAGAGGGCTACAAGGTGCAGTACACCCCCATGGCACCTGGAAACTACCTGATCAGCGTCAAATATGGAGGGCCGAACCACATCAGTGGCAGCCCCTTTAAGGCCTCAGTCACAGGTAAAGTGGTGAAGGTCACTCTGCTGAACTCTCTGTACTGTGACTCTGTAGACTTAGACTGCAAACCAGGCGAATTTTGGGAAATGTTGTGAAGTTAAAAAAAAAAAGAGCCCATGTGAAGCATTTCAACATTTTTTGTTACCTATCTCAGGACCTCGTCTGGTAAATGTGACCAATGCCAGCGAGACTTCGACACTGATGGTGGATCCGGCAATAAGGGGGTCCAGCAGCAGCTTCACCTATGCCATGCCTCGGCCGGGCGAGTCAGACGCCAGCAAGGTTCTGAGCCGAGGGTCCGGTCTCAGTAAGGCCTTTGTGGGCCAGAGGAGCAGCTTCTCTGTCGACTGCAGCAAGGCCGGTAAGGAAGACTCCAAACTCTGCATCATCTCTATATCATGGCCTGATTTTAGATTATTAACGACTTATTTCATACTTTATTCACGCTGAAGTTTACAAATACATGAATTCATGAAGGGCAGCAAAAGGTGATCATTGAATTTTTCATTTATCCATTTTTATCCACCATCCAGTTTTTTTTTCATTCAACATTAACAGCCTCACTGACCTTCTAGTGTAACTGTAGATCTGCATAAGGGGTGCTGGCAGCAAATGTGACCCCAGTTTCAGAGCACTTCTCACCAATGCTCATTGTTGTTAGGTTACGCAAGCTAACCTCTTCGCTCGAAAACCTCCACATGAAAGTAATGTGAAGGGAATCCTGTCCTGCCATTGGCAGCAGCTCTACACCTGGAAACTCAGATTAGTTTCTTCTCTGCCATTGTTTTCTACAAAGCTGATATCAGACGTCTCGCCCCTTCTTGATTTTGATTGGTCGATTAGGGAGAAGTGAAATATGACGAGTGTAGTGCTGTTACAAAAAGTTGAACATTTTTCAACTCTGTGCGCTGAGCATAGCGACAAAAAACAACTGAAGCTGACCCTGATCTACATTGTTTTTTTTGTTGTTGAAAATTTATGCTGCCAGCACAAACACAGCTGAGGTCGGTCCCTGAAGATGTTGAATTTAAGATTCACTTATAGTGGTCGAAGAAGCTTAGTGGTTAGTGCACGCCCCCCATGAACACAGACTACAAATCTCATTTGTCATAAACTATCACATACCACAAGTTAGAATTCAAATTGTCACAGGTTTAATGTTCTGTTTTTCTTTTCCGATTTCTATTATTACAGAATTAAGTTTTGGATCATTTAATTCATTCAAAGTTCTTGTAAATCTGTTTTGACTTCGGGAATCTACGTTTGAAAACCAGATGGACTTCCTCAAACTTTAACAACATCAGTGTTTGGATTCTGATCCTGATTTTCTCCACTTGTCTCCCCAGGTAAGAACATGCTCCTGGTGGGCGTGCACGGTCCTCAGGTCCCCTGTGAGGAGGTTCTGGTCAAACACATGGGTAACCTGCAGTACAACGTGAGCTACGTGCTGAAGGAGCGGGGAAACTACATCCTGGTGGTTAAGTGGGGCGAGGACCACATCCCAGGCTCCCCTTTCCAAGTCACTGTCCCATGATGCACCACAATAAGACCTGCCGACACTCCTCATGTGCCATTTTTTGCATCCCTGTTTGAGTGGACAACTTAGTGGCACTGCGAATGACTGTCCAATTAACTGCTGCTTTATAATGCTTTATGTACTAATGTTGTCTTCAGTTCAAATCACATGTTCTGACTTTCTGCCCCAATAATTAACACGTGGTAACGTTTCTTAGCCTGTCGAGCTGTCCTTGAAAAAAAAGAAAAGATAAACTAAACACAGCTGTGAATGTATAACATGAGCTGGACAATTTGTGCAGTGAATCTGGGAGGCGAAATCTTAAAGAGCGGTGCTGAAAACGACTTGTTCTAAAAAAAAAGAAATTACCTGATTGGATGCAATAGATTCTGACCGAACCGCTATTCTCCATTGACAATTTTTGCACTGGTTTTGGCTCATTTTAAAAGGTGATTGGTATATTAAAGAACGCTGGTTTAACACGAGGAGTTAGTGGATGAAAAAGTCCTGATTTGTAACTTTTTCCAAAAATATTTAACAAGATTAAGAAAAGGTTTGGGCCGAGTGGATCTGAACTTTTAAGTGCTCACATTAAAGTAAATAACTGGAATTACACAGCACTTTGAGGAGCAGACTTTAAATCAGGGACACGTTTCTCTTGGACTTCTTTGAGACGTGTACGCTGCATGATTGTGGACTAGAGGGCCAAACAACCAGCTGAGTTCCCCGCCAAAATAAAAGACAATATGTGTAGAACTTTTCGCTTAAAAATTTCAAAGTGCTGTGAAAGAAACATCTGATCAAACTGGAAGTCTTTGTGATCTGATGGTATGTAAGATGTTTCTTTAGAGCAGTGACCGCTCAGACTCACTCCAACAGGAAAACGCCTAACTGTACACGACTACTGATGTTTGTTTGTTTTTTATGCTCTTCAACCTTGACTCCCAGAACCCTTGTCACACATCTCTAAGTCGATGACTGTTAAAGCTGCCTTCTCACTACTGAATCCAGCACTGTTCGATACGCTACTCCATTACAAAGTAGAGTCGTGGGTTCGATGTTTTTCTCTGTTGTCCCTCCAACTGTATGTTCACACACAAACAGATCTGACTTTGAACTCTGTGGCTCATTTCTGAACTGTGTCACATCGTCCTAAATAGAGTAGAAATCCCGTCCTCTGGTGGGATAAAATCATCAATGCGACCAAAGTTTATCATCCATTATTTTTTGATTTGTCTGAGAACGTTCACCTGAAAGTACCAACAAACACAAGCCCCGTCTACCACTGCATAACACCATGAAAAATACCAATAAGTATCAGATCTGAGCTGAGGAGGAGAGATCAGATTACTGGTTTGTGTGTAAATCTGGATGAATCTGTTTGTCCTAATCACTGCTCCTTTTGATACTTAAGGGATGAGAGGATTTTTGTACGGGGGATAATGAATAAACGTCTCATTTTGTATGTGGGAATGGGTGTTTTAATGTGAAACTAAAACATGAGCTGATGTACATTTGATAATTAAAAACAACTGGAATGAATCTGTCTTAGACTGTTTTCCTCAAGCAACTTTTTTTTTTTACATCCAATTTCATTCAGGGATGAGTATGAGTTAAAGGTCCAATCTGTAATTAAACTGACTGAAATGATAAAGTGAGCTTACTATATGATCAGACATGAAAGGGGTCATATTATGCTTTTTTTCTGGTTTTATATGCTCTTTAGTGTGTTTTCCATGTGTGCATGTTTAGGCACATCTATGTGCAAAAATTCAAAGTCTGCGGAAACGCAGCTTCTCCTACGTCCTCCTGTTAGCTGTAGCATTAGCTGCATGTAACGCTCGGTTCTAGCCCCCCTCGAAAATACTTTGCCAGTGTGACATCTTGTCAGTGTGATATCACTGATCTAAGCCCATTGGCTCGTTGCGGCAAGCCCAGCAGCTCATGTTGCACGCCCATTAACTTCTGTAGCACGCCCACGATATGCCGTAGTATATACAGTATATGCCACAGTAGTGCTAAGGTGCTAATGTTTTTGATCCCTTCGGAGCCAAAGTGGCTGCATTCCCAATATGGTAAAAGGGGCGTGACATTTCAGAGAACCGTGCTTAGCGGCTGACCAATTACAGCAGAGCAGACAGGCCGACCAATCAGATCAGACTTGGTGGGCACTTCAGAGCCTTAGAGAGAGAGAGAGAGTCAGAAGCGAGCCGGTGCATGGAGCAGCAGTACATGAAAACTTTAGCTATTGTGAATATACTTTAGTAGGTACATAGATTAAATATATGAACCCCAAAAAGAGCATAATATGACCTCTTTAAGGAAACATGCTATGTTGAAGTGCTGGCTTCTCTGACAACAATGCAGCAGCCAGTATGTCCTCCTTCCAACTTTAGATTCTGGTCCTGAATGCTCTGGATTTGTTTGGACCAGAGAAGGTAGGCAGTTTTAAGGCGACCCCCACACAGCCGTTTTGGACGCCCCTCAGTTTTCAGTTTCATTTTCATTTTACCTTTATTTATTCTCGAGAAATCATTGAGGGCAAGCCCTCATTTACAATCACGTCGAGAGTACAATTAAAACGAATAAGAGACAAAAAAGACAAAAAAATAACAAAGACAAAATACATAGACTATAATACCAAAAGAATAAGCAGTAAGCAAGTAACTACAGTTAATAACATTTACACTCATGAGTACAGTGAGCTGTGATCAAGTTTTTAAGTTGACCCATGGTAACCATTGTATTGAGTTTGAATGTGTTTTGTATTGTGTTCCAGGTGTGTGCAGCACAAAAGATGAAGGATGTTTTCCCAAAGTTCGTTTTTACACGTGGAACCGTTAACATCAGCCAGTCACTTGATCGAGTCTAGAGACTGATAATCAGCCCAGATTAATGAAGAAGTGATGTATGCTGGTAGATTACCCGCAAGTGATTTATAAATAAATAGCAGCCAATGCCGTTCACGTCTAACTGTTAGTGAAGGCCAACCAACTTTATCGTACAGGATGCAATGATGAGTGGAATATTTGTCACCAGTGATAAATCTGAGGGCGGAGTGATAAACTGTGTCTAATGATTTTAGGGTGGAGGCAGAAGCATGTCTAAAAATGACATCCCCGTAGTCCAGAACAGATAGGATGATGGCTTCCATTATTCGCTTTCTACTCACTAAGAGGAAGTTCACTTTGTTCCTGTACAAGTATCCAATTTTCTGTCGTAGTTTAGTGGTTAATGTATCAATGTGAAATTTAAATGAAAGGGATTGATCCAACCAGATGCCAAGATATTTATAATGAGGTACTCTTTCAATATTGTGACCTTCCAGAGTTGTTATATACAAGTCATTGTCTGTGGTATTTCTGGCTTGTGTAAAGAGCATGTATTTAGTTTTCTCTGCATTCAATAATAATTTTAAATCAAGGAGTGCATTTTGTAATTTGTGAAGTGCTTCTTGTAAAGTTTCCATTGCTAAGTGTGCAGTCTCTGCAAAACAATACAAAACTGTGTCGTCAGCGTAGAGATGGGCCTTACAATTTGTAAATACAGAAGCAATATTGTTAATATAGATCGTGAACAGCACAGGACCCAATACAGAACCTTGTGGAATCCCTTTTGATAGTGGTAAGTATTCAGAGCGATCAGATTGTACAGTCACACATTGCAATCTATTAGACAGATAATTCTGGAACCATTTAAATGAGTTGTCAAAACCAACATCATGTAGCCTCTGCAGGAGTATGGTGTGATCAACAGTGTCAAACGCTTTAGTTAAATCAACACAGAGGGCAGCACAGTATTTCCCTTGATCAACAGCAGATACAATATTATTTATGACAAAGGTAATTGCTGATGTGGTGCTGTGTTTTTTTCTGAACCCAGACTGGTGAGGACTTAATACAGAATTTTTTGAAATGAATGATTTTAGTTGATTGTTGACTAATGTCTCCAGGATTTTAGAGAGGCTGGACATTTTGGAGTTCGGCCGGTAGTTGTTGAGTTTGTTTTTGTCGCCGCCCTTATGCAGAGGGACAATGTGTGCTGACTTCCAAACCTTAGGGACAATTCCAGTGGTGATTGAAAGATTAAAAATATAGGACATTTGTTCCTTGATTAGAGGGGCACAGAGTTTTAAAAAAGTACAGCTCTAGATTATCTTCTCCCCTTGCTTTCCTAATATCTATAGAGTGCAGAGCCTCCATTACAGCAGAGGAAGTGAAGGCCTGTATAGTAAATTTAGGGGAATGGTTGTGGGAAGTAGGACTATGAGCCAGTGGCCGGATATTAACAGTGTTTCCAGAGTACAATGTTTCAAACTGACTCCCAGAAGCAACAAAATGGAGGTTAAAGGCACGGCAAATATCTGAAGTTTTATTTGTTTCGCCTTCATTTAAAGTAACATAAGAAGGGAGAGATGGGCGGATTTATTTTTGTTTATATTCACTGCTTTCCAGAATTTTGATGGGTTTGAAGAGCAACTAGAAATCGACTCCTGGTGATATGAGGTTTTAGCTTTTCTCAGTGAATATGTGCATTTATTTCTGAGTTGTCTGAATAAAAGCCAATGGGCTGCTGTGCCTGTCTTTCTTGCTAATGCCCAGGCTTTGTCCCTTTCCTTTAAGAGTAATGATAATTCAATGGAGAACCATGGGCTTGATCTATCTTTAACCCTTCACTTTTTAAAAAGGTGCATGCTTGTCAATAATTTCAAGAAATGTATTTGTAAAATATTCAAGTGCATGATCCACATCAGGTATTTCAGATGTTTGACATATATTACTGTTCACAATGTCATTAAAAAACACCTGTTCATTAAAATTTCTAAAATTTCTCAAGTACAATCCTGGACTTAGATTTTGCTACTCTAGCACTCCTTATACATGCCAGAGGACAATGGTCACTGATGTCTAGGGAGAAGACCCCAGAGGCTGTAATTTTGTCCCTTCTATTGGTAAAAAATTAGATCAATCAATGTTGATTAATAGCACTGGGATTAGCTGATGGTGGTCTATATACACCTAGCACAGTCTATCTGTTACAAGAGATTTGAATTTGTAGAGCAATACATTCAAACGAGTGAGGTATAGAGACGGTATTTGAAATAGTAACAGATATAAAGTCATATATATATAGCGCCACGCCACCTCCTCGTCCCTCTGTCTTTTCTGTACAAGTTGTAATTATTTATTGCAACTTCTGAATCATGGATACTCTTTTTAAGCCAAGTTTCTGTCAGCACAAGGATATCTGGGTCAGTTTGTGATACAGGAGTTTGCAGATGATCTAATTTAAACTGAGCACAAAGACTTATATTTAAATGCATAAAACCTAAGCCATTTCTTGACTTAAAAGTATGTGGGTTAAATAAAACTTGCTTAGAGTCACAGGAGGGCCCACTAGCAGATGGCAATGGTTTTGGTTTAATTGGAACCAAGTTATCCTGGTTACAAAAACTTGTGCTGGGGAGGAACTGGCAGTGCTGACGGACACTGGTCATGAGTACAGGGATGCTAAATACTGGAGCAGAGACGGGAAAGGGAGAGCAGAGAGTGTTGATAATAGGGCTCACCTGAGAATCTAAATCCTGCCTAATTTCAGTGGAAAGAAGTAGCTTCATACACCAGTCGATGGAGCTAGGGAGCCATCTGGACGATGCCAGTGGTAAGGAGAGAGAGCTCCAGTCACTAGTGTCCAGAAGGGTTTTTAGTTTGCCAGATATGAGAGCAGTTATCAGGTCAAACCAACAGGTGTTGCAGCAATGGAAGCGCGCAAGAGATCTGGTTCAGATAGAAGTGATTGTACCCGACCTAAAAAGCCTCTGCATGTTTCTAATAAGCTCCATGAGAAGAAACGTGCCAAACGATCAGGAGCCAATCAGAAGCTTCTTTTAAGGGTGAAAAAAATCCTGACAGGTTGTTACAATGAAATGACACAGAAGTGAAGAAACACAGAGACTAAATAGACATGGGGTAATCAGACACAGGTGACACTAATGACACAGGTGAAGACAATCAGGGCAATCAAGGCAGGGAGAAACACAAGACCAGAAACGCTGAAGACAATACAAAATAAATCTTGAAACACTAAAGACACACAAAACTCAAAAGTCTAACAAAACACACAAATACACGAGGATAATAAATGACAAAATAAAACAGAAAACACTGAAGACAAAACTAGGAAACCATGAACACTAGGAAACATTAACACACAAGGGAAACAAGCAACACTGGGATAAAACAGGGAAACTGGTGTAGTGGTGCCTAAAAGAGTGGGTATACTCTTTAATTTTTCCCAAATTATTTTATTAAGTGTTCCGTCCAGCGGAGGATAAACGGTTTCTGTTACTAACAGTGACATAAGACTCCTCTTGCATATTTAGTTAGTGGTCCTGCTAGTGGATTAGAGTCAGATTACTGAGGGTCACCCCTTCACCATCCTAGGAATTGCAGCATCCAACTGAATATGGTCAATCAAATAATGATGTCAATCAGAGGAGATTTAGAAATGGGTATACTTCGTATACCCTGCACTACAACACTGGCTAGCATCAAATCATACTGTAACCGAGCTTTCTGGGTTTGTCGGACCGGATACACTTAATAAGAAAACAATAAACGGCACATAGGCGGGGAGCTTCTTTATCCACGGCTTCCACTTTATTACACACACACCTGTGTACCGCGAACAGGATAACAACAACAACAACAACTGCTTTATGGCAGCTACGGTAACTCTCTAGGGACACCTCACTCTAAAAGCGAATGAGATATACAATACATATAACAAACACAACAATCTGTTACATATCCCCCTCAACTTGAAACGTCCCCGTTTCACATAAAACATTGACACAGGCATCCATGAGACAACAGGAAACCTCTGAAAACAGTCCCCTAGCAGAATTTAACCTGAGCATGAAAAGAAAACCTGTGTATCACTGTTGTCACCCAAATGTACTTAACATGAACTGCAAAAACACATGAAAAAACATCCCAGAAAGAGGAAAACAAACACAAAGCATCAAACTCAGAACCTCACAAAATTCTGAAGACGTGAAGGTGGTCTCAGGACACACCCCCTGCGTGACTGCACTAGTTCAGCCTCGAAAACTCCCCATACAGACTCATGTCCACACCCCCAGTCAGTTGTTGCTCAACCATTTGTGGTGACAACGGGAGTGGCGGAACCCCCAAAAGAGGAGATACTTGAAGGGTAGGAGGGGAGCCACCAACAGTCCCTGAAGGCACTGGCAAAGTATAACGTTTCAGCCTGTCATGGTGATCCTCTCCAGAGAGTCCAGAGGATCGCTTATGCGCTAAGTCAGTGCAGCCTCACCTCCAGACGCCAACGCCTCCATGACCCGGTATGGGCCCTTCCAATGTGGCGCCAGCTTCGTGCGGCTCTCAGTGGAATTATTCAACCACACCATCTCTCCCGCCTCATAGGCACGGTGGCAAACATCAGCGTCATAATACAGTTTTTGTCTCTCATGAGCCTCTGCAGCATTGAGACTGGCGGCTGAAAAAAGCAGCCTCCAGTCCATCCACCATGGATGACACATACCATGGCAGAGATCCAGCACCCCCAGAGTCTGAAACAACACCAGGCACAAGCACATCAGCAGGGACACGCTGATATGGAAGTTGGTCTGGTAACTGGAGAGGTGCCAGATCACTTCCCGAGTACTGCCGAGGTGCCCTTGAGCAAGGCACCATAGCCCCTCCCCACCACCAGCTCAGGAGCCCAGGAGCAGCTCCGTCACCCTGACATCTCTCCATTAGTGCATGCCCATAGGATCCTGTTTGTGCATGTGTGTATTTCAGTCTATGTGTGTTGCATGACTTCCAGAGTGTAAAAACAGAATTTCCCCTTGCAGGATCAATAATCTTAATATAATCCCAAATAATAAATAATTAAATACCACATCATAAAATACCATGATTTATATTTGTTTCAGTAACAGTATTTAATACTAGATTGTGAGTCCGGTTGTTGAGTCAAATACTGTGTATGTGTTATTAGGGGGGGCTCTTCCTTTTGTAGGGGTGGCCACAGGGGGGACCAAGCTTAGTGTTACAGGGGCACTGCTCCCTAGAACCGCCCGTGATAGTCTTCCTCACTGACCTTTCGCTAGAGCTACATACGATGGCCAAATCTTGAATTAATCTTTATCAAAGACATCTGGTGACTTCCTGTGTTTCTGCATCCAGCCTCTAGTGGACACTCGGTTTTTAAGGTATTTTGTAGGATCTTTTTGTAGGATCATCAAGATCAACATTTTACTGAACTTCACCGTGGATATTGACCAATTCTGATCCATGGCCTAATTCTGCTGCCTGTTCGTTTCCAGCAGAAACAAACACACACGTCAGTAAAAAAAAGTTTAAATATGTGTGCTAAACAAACTGAGGTGATCACACGCACTTATTGTGTTGTGTAACTTCCTTTTTAAGTTTAGTTTCACTTCCGATGGCTTTGTGACTGTTAATATTAGGTCGTCACACGCTGTAGATTGATTAGTTAACATGGAAACGACAACAATCTCTGTTTATGCGAAGCACTCACGATTTATTTTAATAACTCTGTTTACTTCGGTTGTCAGGTGATATAAATATGTGTCGTTCGTTAATAGTTAATGTTCAAATAAAAACCTGTGCTGCAGGTGTTCAAAATTAAATCCATGAAATTAAATAAGACCTAGGCCTATGTTAACATGATTCCCTGCTGGCCTCGGCGTCATCTTTTGTTGTTGTTTTGATTGGGAGCGTGTTGGCGGATTTTACATACTGTGCGTTTTTAAGTTACCGTAGTTTTCTAAATATTTTTCTTTTGTTGTATTTATTATGTATGCTAGGCTGTGTATTTATTTAAACTTCATTTTGGATAATATATTGTTAACAATTGTGTTTGTTTTGAAGTAGCCTTTGTTGATTCACAATATTAACCGTTCAGAGCGTACAGAGGTTTGGGTACACACACATATATTTGCAGGTTTGTTGCGAGCCTGTGTCTCTCCACCAAAGCTGGTGAGCTGCTGTTTGCAGAGAGTCTCCCTCATGGAAGCTACAGTAAGTTACACTGAGGGCGCCCTCTGCTGGATCAAACTGCAAACTACTTAAGACAGCCTCATAAAAAGAGAAAAAAAACCTGGAGAACAAGCTGCAGTCTGTGTTTATTCTGTGTCCTTCATTAAACAAGAAGTCGTTCACTGTGTGAGTTTCCTTGAAGTCAAAGAAAACACTTTGTCAGCTTTTAATTCACGAGAGATTCTCTACAAAACATCATTAGAGTTGTATGTACATAAGGTTAAGGTTACATATAGAGAATGTAACCTTAAGAGATCAAACTCAGAGTGTTCAGAGTGAGAGAGAAGTTTAGAAACGTATCTATATGAGACACACTATTTCAAGAACCCTGCTGATTTCCTGTAAATGGAGGAGGGAGGGGCGACATGTGATCCAGGCTCATGAGAGGAGGCGGGACAGAGAAAGTGAAAGTGTGCAGTCAGTAAAGACTCCATTTTAAGTCGACAGAACCGAGCAGAGAACTAAAATGTGAAGTGGGGTGAGTGTTTATCCAGAGTTTTTATATCTTCACTTCTGTACTCTCAGTTTTCTCCCTGTGAACTGTATGGAGAGAGTTTCAAATGAAGTCAAAATTTAGATTAATATGAGCTCTGACTGTGTGTGTGTGTGTGTGTGTGTGTGTGTGTGTGTGTGTGTGTGTGTGTGTGTGTGTGTGTGTGTGTGTGTGTGTGTGTGTGTGTGTGTGTGTGTGTGTGTGTGTGTGTGTGTGTCCTGGGTGGGGCGTTAGATCAAACTGTTTCCTGTTGTTTCTTGTGTGTTAATCTCACAGTGTGTGTTACTGTGTTTCAGACTGACTTCAGATCAGAACATGGATGTGTGTTTAGAGGAAGTGGCTCCTGAACCCAGCTGTCTGTCTATGAAGAGTGATTTGTCGAATGATCGTGAGCTAAATTTCAGAAGGAATCCTTCACACATAAAGTAAGCCTCCTGTCAAAAGAAACATTAGATAGATTTGCTTTATTGTGGTGTTACAGCAGCAGGTCATCAGAGCAACAACCAAGACCTAAAAGAAGAATTACTTAAAGATGGTAGACAGAATTAAATAGCATATCCACAAAATTATCAAGATGAATGAATTCATGAAAATGTATACTAACGTACATACATCCAGGATTTAACTTAACATTACTTCTAAAGTCTGAAATATGAAAGATTAAACATTTTTCAAGCATGTCAAACTGAAAGTAAACAAACTTTCCTGGATGTAAGAGATGTAAATGTACAAAAACACTGATGACAGTTGTACATGAGCAGTAACAGTATAGAGAGCTGTCCAGAGCTGTGCAATCACTGATATGTTAAAGTGCAAGAGTGTAGACATGTTATGTTAACCATTAACTATAATGATGAGCGGACAGACTATTGAAGTTAACTTGACAGTAAGGATAATGTGTAAACTCTACAAACCTGGATAGCTTCTCATTATCCACAGCTGAAGCCCTTTTTGTATTTACAGCTTCTTTTATAGCATTGTCATCAGAAAGTTGTTAAAAAATTCATGTCATATAAATTAAAACTTGTTGTTTGCAGATTTTTGTCGAGCAGACAGAGAGCAGAGGCTCCTGAACCCAGCAGTCTGTCTCTGAAGAGTGATTTGTCGAATGATCGTGAGATAAACTTCAGAAGGCATCACATGAAGTAAGCCTCCTGTCAAAAGAAACATTAGATAGATTTGCTTTATTGTGGTGTTACAGCAGCAGGTCATCAGAGCAAAAACCAAGACCTAAAAGAAGAATTACTTAAAGATGGTAGACAGAATTAAATAGCATATCCACAAAATTATCAAGATGAATGAATTCATGAAAATGTATACTAACATACATACATCCAGGATTTAACTTAACATTACTTCTAAAGTCTGAAATATGAAAGATTAAACATTTTTCAAGCATGTCAAACTGAAAGTAAACAAACTTTCCTGGAGGTAAGAGATGTAAATGTACAAAAACACTGATGACAGTTGTACATGAGCAGTAACAGTATAGAGAGCTGTCCAGAGCTGTGCAATCACTGATATGTTAAAGTGTAGACATGTTATGTTAACCATTAACTGTAATGATGAGCAGACAGACTATTGAAGTTAACTTGACAGTAAGGATAATGTGTAAACTCTACAAACCTGGATAGCTTCTCATTATCCACAGCTGAAGCCCTTTTTGTATTTACAGCTTCTTTTATAGCATTGTCATCAGAAAGTTGTTAAAAAATTCATGTCATATAAATTAAAACTTGTTGTTTGCAGATTTTTGTCGAGCAGACAGAGAGCAGAGGCTCCTGAACCCAGCAGTCTGTCTCTGAAGAGTGATTTGTCGAATGATCGTGAGCTAAACTTCAGAAGGCATCCTTCACACATAAAGTAAGCCTCCTGTCAAAAGAAACATTAGATAGATTTGCTTTATTGTGGTGTTACAGCAGCAGGTCATCAGAGCAACAACCAAGACCTAAAAGAAGAATTACTTAAAGATGGTAGACAGAATTAAATAGCATATCCACAAAATTATCAAGATGAATGAATTCATGAAAATGTATACTAACGTACATACATCCAGGATTTAACTTAACATTACTTCTAAAGTCTGAAATATGAAAGATTAAACATTTTTCAAGCATGTCAAACTGAAAGTAAACAAACTTTCCTGGAGGTAAGAGATGTAAATGTACAAAAACACTGATGACAGTTGTACATGAGCAGTAACAGTATAGAGAGCTGTCCAGAGCTGTGCAATCACTGATATGTTAAAGTGCAAGAGTGTAGACATGTTATGTTAACTATTAACTATAATGCTGAGCGGACAGACTATTGAAGTTAACTTGACAGTAAGGATGATGTGTAAACTCTACAAACCTGGATAGCTTCTCATTATCCACAGCTGAAGCCCTTTTTGTATTTACAGCTTCTTTTATAGCATTGTCATCAGAAAGTTGTTAAAAAATTCATGTCATATAAATTAAAACTTGTTGTTTGCAGATTTTTGTCGAGCAGACAGAGAGCAGAGGCTCCTGAACCCAGCAGTCTGTCTCTGAAGAGTGATTTGTCGAATGATCGTGAGATAAACTTCAGAAGGCATCACATGAAGTAAGCCTCCTGTCAAAAGAAACATTAGATAGATTTGCTTTATTGTGGTGTTACAGCAGCAGGTCATCAGAGCAAAAACCAAGACCTAAAAGAAGAATTACTTAAAGATGGTAGACAGAATTAAATAGCATATCCACAAAATTATCAAGATGAATGAATTCATGAAAATGTATACTAACATACATACATCCAGGATTTAACTTAACATTACTTCTAAAGTCTGAAATATGAAAGATTAAACATTTTTCAAGCATGTCAAACTGAAAGTAAACAAACTTTCCTGGAGGTAGAGATGTAAATGTACAAAAACACTGATGACAGTTGTACATGAGCAGTAACAGTATAGAGAGCTGTCCAGAGCTTTGTCATCAGAGAGTTGTTCAAAGATTCATGTCATATAAATTAAAACTTGTTGTTTGCAGATTTTTCTCGAGCAGACAGAGAGCAGAGGCTCCTGAACCCAGCGGTCTGTCTCTGAAGAGTGATTTGTCGAATGATCGTGAGCTAAACTTCAGAAGGCATCTTTCACACATGAAGTAAGCCTCCTGTCAAAAGAAACATTAGATAGATTTGCTTTATTGATCCCAAACTGGGAAATTGATTTGAATCTGAATTCTTCACAAATTTGGCTGTTTGCGATCACACATACAGCTCCTCCAGGAAATCTCCAGAGTTTTTTCAGGAGATTTCCGTATGTGTGAAAAGGGTTTAAGAGGGCTCTTACAAACCTTTGAACCTGCTTGTTATCCTTCTTCTCATTAGTACTGTCATTAGTTATTACCAACAGAAGATGGCGCTCAGCCCGGCTCCTGTTTCAAAGAGTTTGTTATTGTCTCTGTTTAGTCTTTTCCAACATCATCTTATATGATACTGTGTGGTCATACGTAAGAAGGTATTTGAGAAACCAGAGAGCCAAAGGAAAAGGCTGTACGACAGGGAAAGTGTAGAGATGATAAACTGAGTCTTTAATTCAGCTTCTCAGCTGAGCAGAGAACACTTTCTCTGAGGGAACAGAGAGACATTCAAAAGTATTCCATGAAACACAGCCGTGTCATACTGTTACACTGATATCTTTGCTTGTTTGTATAGTACACAGGCCGCCAAGTGGCTGATCCTGGTCTGAAAATAGACCCAGCTGCCGTCCTACACTGCAGACTAAGAGCTGAATGCTATTATAAGAAAGAAGGCGTTACCTGCTCTCTATGATCATCTGACTGTTTAGATTGTATTTGATAAATCTTATCTTATTATATTTTCTATCAGTCAACGATCAGTTTAGTTCTAAAGACATGTGTTCACAGGGGGAGGAAGAAGAGTCATGCTATAGAGGAGCAGTCGTCCTGTCCTGGACTGCAGCCAGTCAGTCAGAGCAGCACTGAACAAAGTAAGACTGTACACCTTTCTTCTTCTGTGATCTCCTCCTAAAACATGACTTTTATTGGTAAATGTAAAAAGTATAGAAATTATGTAAGAATAAATAAAAACTATTTTTACTTATTTTACAATAACATTTGAAACTAATACGCAGATTCTATCATTCTCTCTTTCAGTAAATAGAGGTCTGCAGGAGATTTTAGATGAACATAAGGTCAGTCTAGGGAGGAGATGTGAATGTGTGACTGAAGGAAGTGATGAAACAGGAAGTAGAACCCTCCTCAACAGGATCTACACTGAGCTCTACATCACAGAGGGGCAGAGTGAAGAGGTGAACACCCAACATGAGGTGAGACAGATTGAGACAAACTCTAAAAAGAATACCCTCCATGAGACTACAATCAAGTGCCGCGACATCTTTAAAGCCTTACCCGACCAACAGAAACAAAAGACAGAAGCTCAACCCGACCAACAGAAACCCATCAGAGTGGTTCTGACAAATGGCGTTGCTGGTGTTGGAAAAACCTTCGCAGTGCAAAAGTTCACTCTGGACTGGGCAGAGGGTTCAGAGAACCAAGACATCAGTCTGGTGGTCCCGATTTCATTCAGGGAGCTGAACTTGATCAGAGATAAGGAGTACAGTCTTCTTGAGCTGCTCCGTGTTTTCCATCCAACATTACAGAAGGTCAGAGCAGAGACGCTCACTGTCTGTAAACTATTGTTCATCTTTGACGGTCTGGATGAAAGCAGACCGTCATTGGACTTCAAAAACAGTGAGGTTGTTACTGATGTCACACAGAAGTCATCGTTAAACACACTGTTCACAAACCTCATCAAGGGGAATCTGCTTCCCTCAGCTCTCATCTGGATAACTTCTCGACCTGCAGCAGCCAATCAGATCCCTCCTTCATGTTTTGACAGGGTAACAGAAGTAAGAGGCTTCACTGATGCCCAGAAGGAGGAGTACTTCAGGAGGAGGTTCAGTGATGATGAAGATCTGTCCAGCAGAATCATCTCACACATCAAGGCATCCAGGACCCTCCACATCATGTGTCTGATCCCGGTCTTCTGCTGGATCACTGCGACAGTTCTGGAGCACATGATGAACACAGAGCAGAGAGGAGAGCTTCCCAAGACCCTGACTGACATGTACTCACATTTCCTGCTGGTTCAGACAAAGAGGAAGAAGTACAAATATGATGAAGGACATCAGATGAGTCCACATGAGCTGATGGAGGCTGACAGGGAAGTTCTTCTGAAGCTGGGGAGGCTGGCGTTTGAACATCTGGAGGACGGAAACATCATGTTCTACCAAGAAGACTTGGAGCGGTGTGGCCTGGATGTCACAGAGGCCTCGGTGTACTCAGGAGTTTGTACAGAAATCTTTAAAACAGAGTGTGTGATCTTCCAGAAAACTGTCTACTGCTTTATTCATCTGAGCGTTCAGGAGTTCCTGGCTGCGGTCTACATCTTCCACTGTTTCACCAACAGGAACACAACAGTTCTGAAGGCTTTCCTGGAGCAAGAAAACTACCATGACCAGGGCTGCGTAGACGACACTTGTTTAAAAGTCTTTTTGAGTAGAGCCATGGAGAAATCCCTGAAAAATAATAATGGTCACATGGACCTGTTTGTTCGCTTCCTTCATGGACTATCTCTGAAGTCAAACCAGAGACTCTTAGGAGGCCTGTTGGGTCGAACAGACAACAGTCCAGAAATGATCCAGAGAGTCATTATCAGCCTGAAGGAGATGAACAATGAAGATATCTCTCCTGACAGAAGCATCAACATCTTCCACTGTCTGACAGAGATGAACGACCTCTCAGTCCATCAGGAGATCCAAGAGTTGCTGAAGTCAGAGAACAGATCAGAGAAGGAACTCTCTGAGATTCACTGCTCTGCTCTGGCCTACATGCTGCAGATGTCCGAGGAGGTTCTGGATGAGTTGGACCTGAATAAGTACAACACATCATACCAGGGACGACAGAGACTGATTCCAGCTGTGAGGAACTGCAGGAAGGCTAAGTAAGTCCAGATGTGAAGAGCTTTATAAATCAGTGTTATGTACTCATTTAGTTGTTTATTTTTCCTTACTGTTCGCCAAATTGTGTTCCACTTTTAATGTTCAGGAGAAATAGTCAGTCGTAGTTTTTTAGCTTTTTTGCCTTGAGTTCAAAAATTGCTCTGATAGTTTTTTTTCGTGAACACATTCAGGAGGAGATTCCCAAAGAACTGACTGAGATTGCTGATAGTGTCAGTCCCTTTAAAGGGAGATATCAGATGCTGTAGCAAAGGGTCAAAAAGTTAATTTTGGACCCTGAGCGCCCCCTTCCAGCCTCTGCAGGCTTTACAAATCAATAATGAGCATCATCTCTTAAAATCTCAGCAGTAGAAACTGTTCTGGCAGGAGATCCTTAACCTCACTACATTTTATTCTTTGCTGACTTGTTTGATTTCTGGACCATTCGGCAGCAGTCGAATGGTATTTTCCCGTTTATAGAAGTGAGCCAGAGTATTACTGTTCATTGAGTTTCAAATTCCAGAGAGTCATCTGAATAGATAACACTTTAGATCACAGACTATGAACATGATGCCAAACTGCATTTGTTTCCATTCATCTCCAACATTTAGTAAACAATTAAAAGATGACAGATGTGCAGGTTTAAAAACTGTTTAATCATCAAATGTGACACGTAGATATCAAACGCAAGTAAGAGTAAAAGTAATATTTTTCTATTATATGTCATAACAGACTTTCTGGCTGTAGACTCTCAGAGACTCACTGTGACGTCGTGGTCTCAGCTCTGAAGTCCAACCCCTCCCATCTCAGAGAGCTGGATCTGAGCTGGAACGAGAAGCTGCAGGATTCAGGAGTGAAGTTGTCTGCTGGACTGCAGAGTCCAAACTGTAGACTGGCGTCTCTGAGGTCAGATCACTGACTGTAATATATGCATATAATTATATATAATATACACACTGACAGCAACACTTTGAACACCCATCACTGACTGACTGACTGTCTGAGCTCCGCTCTCTGTTACTCTCAGCAGACTGTTAATGTCTCTCTGGCTCATTAAAAAAAGAGTTTGTTGTTTCGCTATCTGAGATGTAAACATAAACTGTGCAAAGTATACGAAAAAACTTAACTGTTTCTTAACAGTTTAACAAACAGTTGCATAACAGGGATGGATTTGTTTTTACTGACTAACTCTTAAGTTTCGTCTTAATTTATATCGATAAATCCTGCACGCGTGCGACTGTGTAGGAGCCTTAATTGCAGCATGATAGAATGAACACATTAGCCCGGTTCTACGATCTCTGTTTTGGCAGATCGTCATGACATTCAAATCCATCAAGATCTAAGATCGTTATATTGCACATCAATAGTATATCCTACTCCTCTTTAAGGGGGTCTTTACACAAATATAAAGTAATACACAAGCATCCTAGGAATCATCTTCATGCAAATATTTCTGATAATGTGGAGACAAGTTTAAAACTCTCAATTAAAACAATGTGCACATGAAGCTTCTGGTTTCCCCTGGTTCTGTTAAGAAGTGAAATCATGAAGACTTTTGATTCAATAATGTCGGATTTGATAAATGTACAAACATCACAGAGCTGACTGAGATCAGCAGCCTGTTATTCATCTGCGCACACGAACAGCTGTATGAATGTTGTGCTGACATTTGGAGGATTTAGATTTTGTGAATACACAATCAGAAATGATCCTCTATTTAGAGAAAACTTTATTCATCAGGACAAAATGATGTTGTGATACGCATCACAACCTGAACACGTGTGAGTGGATTATACATTATTTTTCTTCATCTTTTATTCTGTATTCAGATTGAGGGGCTGCAGTTTGTCAGAGATCAGCTGTTCTTCTCTGGCCTTAGCTCTGAAGTCCAACCCATCCCATCTCAGAGAGCTGGACCTGAGTAAGAACAAGAAGCTGCAGGATTCAGGAGTGGAGCTGCTGTGTGATTATCTGCGAAGTCCAAACTGCAGACTGGAGTCTCCGAGGTCAGACACCTTTTCTTTCTTTGAATCTCTGAGAATTACAAGACCTGTCTGGAAAAGCCTTTATTTACATTTTCTACAGAAGAGATCCACACTGACTTTTAGTTTTTAGAGTCTAAAGAAAGCATGAGGAGTTTTTTTGTTAGGGAATACTGTACAGGACAAGATCAGTAAAGGGATAAGAGGTTTCACTTTGTCAATAGGGGGCGCCAAAACAGACACATAATGAAAGTTCCTCACAGGAGCTTTGAGTGTTTGAATCTTTGAACGATCAGGAAGTAACTAAAGTATTAAGGCATCCTAAAAAAGTCATTCAATGTTTGAATGAACAGGTGATGATCATGTCAGTGTGTTCATGTGGACAACATCGCACATTCCTGCATAAAGCTCACTGTCATCTACATTTACATCTTTTATTCTATATTCAGATTGAGGGGCTGCAGTTTGTCAGAGATCAGCTGTTCTCCTCTGGCCTCAGCTCTGAAGTCCAACCCCTCCCATCTCAGGGAGCTGGACCTGAGTGAGAACAACCTGCAGGATTCAGGAGTGAAGCTGCTGTGTGATTATCTGCAGAGTCCAAACTGCAGACTGGAGACTCTGAGGTCAGTTCACTGACTGTGTTATTCATTTGTATCGTTTCAATCCACATCCTCAATTGTTTTTCATTTTCACATTTGATGTGAAATGTTTTTATGACTATGTGAAGTACAGTTGAACAACTTGCACATGAAGCCTCTGGTTTCCTCTGGTTCTGTTAAGAAGTGAAATCATGAAGACTTTTGATTCAATAATGTCTGATTTGATAAATGTACAAACATCACAGAGCTGACTGAGATCAGCAGCCTGTTATTCATCTGCGCACATGAACAGCTGTATGAAGGTTGTGCTGACATTTGGAGGATTTAGATTTTGTGAATGCACAATCAGTAATGATCCTCTAATCATTTAGAGAAAACTTTATTCATCAGGTCAAAGTGATGTTGAGATACTCATCACAACCTGAACACATGAGTGGAGTATACATTATTTTTCTTCATCTTTTATTCTCTCTTCAGATTGAGTGGCTGCAGTTTGTCAGAGATGTGCTGTTCTTCTCTGGCCTCAGCTCTGAAGTCCAAGCCCTCCCATGTCAGAGAGTTAGACCTGGGCTACAACGAGCTGCGAGATTCAGGAGTGGAGCTGCTGTGTGATTATCTGCAGAGTCCAAACTGCAGACTGGAGTCTCTGAGGTCAGACACCTTTTCTTTCTTTGAGTCTGTGCTACTGTTGAACACCTCAGGAATAATGAACACTTTGTGAATCTTAACCTTAAAACAATCTGAGCACCATGAAACAAGCTAACATTAGCAGCAGCTCTGCTCCCAGCCCACACTCACCTCCTGAGTCAACTGAAGAGGGTCTGCTAATCACGTGTGTCATGTTGTGTTTTTCCTTCCTGCCTTCATGACTCATTTGATTGTTCGGGGGTCTTGCCTCTGATTGAAGAAAAGCTTCCTGTACGGCTCACAGGTTTAAAGAATGTGTGGTGAACCTCACTAACAGTTCATGAGCCTCCCATCACCTTTAACTTCCAAACAAGCTCAATATGAAATTCACAGATCCAGTGAAGAGCAGCACAAAGACATTTAGGATTGTAGAGATGATTCTGTCAAACCTCCATTAACCGTCCTTTAGTAACAGATCCAATAATGATGATTGTTTGAATGGGTGAGGATGGATTACTTTTCAAGTGATTTGATGTACATATCTTTATGGATCATTCTTCTTCTTTTTCATAGCCTTCATATTTTTTATGATCATATTTCAAAACAAACTCTGATTTGAAACGTACTGTGAGGAGGAGAACTTTGTGTGGTAAACGCAAAGAAAAACAGCATAAAAATGTAAAAGTAATGTGAATGCTGAACTGTTCTTTATGCGTTACATTAACGCCCACTGGACTTTAAATTTATTTCTTTACATGCACTCTATGAGTAGGTTACATACACTATAAGATTTTTTCTCATTGTCCACTGCACAGCTCCTACATTGCACCTTTTGTACATTTTGTGTTTCTTTAAATGTATTTATTTATTATTTATATTTTACATTTTTAAATTCTATTTTATATATTGTAACAGCTTCTTATACTGTATTATTTAAGTTGTTGCTAGTTCTGCTTTATTTCCTTGTTTAGCACCAATACACCAAGTCAAATTCCTTGTATGTGTAAATGTACTTGGCAATAAAACCCGATTCTGATTCTGAAATGCAGACGCCGGTTTCAGGCCCCGTCCTGTGCGTACTTAACAGTTATAAATGAGAACCCAGATGATGATCATGTCAGTGTGTTCATGTGGACAACATCGCACATTCAAGCATAAAGCTCACTGTCATCTACATTTACATCATTTATTCAGATTGAGGGGCTGCAGTTTGTCAGAGATCAGCTGTTCTTCTCTGGCCTCAGCTCTGAAGTCCAACCCCTCCCATCTCAGAGAGCTGGACCTGAGAGGGAACGACCTGCAGGATTCAGGAGTGGAGCTGCAGGATTCAGATGAGACGCTGCAGGATTCAGATGTGAAGCTGCTGCATGATCTTAAGAAGAATCCAAACTATCGACTGGAGACTCTGAGGTCAGTCTCTCAGTGTTCTTTAGTAAACCCTTCACATATTTGAATTTGAATTCATTTATTTAATAGGAACAATGCAAATTAACATAGTTTCAATACAAAGCATGAAACTGATGTGCTGCATTAAGAGTATACAGCTATTGCTAATTTCCAACTTGTGTCCCTAGTTGGGCATTTGGGTAAACAAACAGAGTGAAAATGTACAACATTCACATAAAACCTCATAACACTATATGAGGATACATTAAAATACGTACAACAATATGACAATACAACATGCTATAAATCAGTTTAAATTACAGATTTAATATACAATTTAAAAGAGGGTACAGTTCTGGTTAGCTTTCAGCCAGGATTTCAGCATTTTCTAAGTCTGAGATTAATTTTATTTCAGGTGTTTAATATGTTCCACAGTTTACAGCCTTTGATGGCAAAAGTTGATTGGTCAAATGTAGATCTACGTTTTGTATGCCACAGTTTCCATTCACAGTTCTTCTTGTTACCCTGTTTCCGTCCTGTCTTTGAACATAAATAGAGAGAGGTTCAGGGGACAGTTTTGTGTCGGTGAAATCCTTTTCTGAGGTCTATACTACAAAGAGAGTTAAACAAACCCAGGGTTTTTTTTTCTGTTATCTGGCTTCACTAACCCTGACATAAGAGATCGTGCTGAACAGTCACATGAAGCTTGTTATCAACCAGAGAAGTAGACCCAGAGTTTCAGAGAGCGCATTCACATAAAAGAGGCGCAGTTAGCTTCATATAATCACAATCATCCCTGAGTTTTCCGTCAGCAAATTGTCATATCTAACAAACACTGAACTATATTAATAATACAGGTTCTTTATTTGATGAAACATGTCCAATAGTTGTATTTACTTCACTTGCAGCATCTTTACTCCCCTTTAATTTATTTAGTTATTTTGATAACATTTTGTGATATTATTGGATGGATGGAGAGATAGATTGAGAGCTGGGTGGTTGGAGAGATGGACAGAGAGATGGATGATGGAGAGATGGACGGAAAGATAGATGGATTGAGAGAGAGATGATGGAGAGATTGATGGAGAGATGGATGGATGTAGAGAGAGAGATGGATGGAGATAGATGGATGGGTGGAGAGATTGAGAGATAGATGGATGGATAGATACTTTAGTCTTCCCCTTGGAGAAATTCAGGAGCTTTGTGGGGGAATATGATGACTTACAGCTGATGAAGGGAGTCAGTGTACAAAATGATTTATGATTTCTGTGATGTGTCTTCTCTCATTAGATGGTGGTGATCTCTGTCAGAATGTGAGCGATCAGGACGCTGGTGGTGCAGAGAGGAGCAGCTGTGTCCTGATGATCCACAGACCAAGCTGAGGAGAGCCTCATCCCTCAAGGACTGACAGAGGAATCACATCAAAGTTCATTTCAGTTATATTTCTAATGAATTTGTTCCACACACATTTCAGGAGTGGAAGGTAGAACATTTAACAGCTGGTAGAAATGTTAAGAGTCAAAAGCTTCAAAATGCTGCAGTTATTTTTCTCATGTGACAATCACATCATATTTAACATTTCGTAAAATCATATTCTCTATCTAAACTTTTTAAAACCTGCCCTGCAATCCTTTTTTTGTGATCAATTTTTTATTATTGATGTTCCTGTTCAGGTAGCATATACATATATATATCATGTCTGAGGGATAAACATTATGAATTTATCAAACATGTCGTTAATAGGCAAAACATAATCAGATCTCTAATTATAAACGAAAGTTCAGGAAAATATGTTACAATTCGACTAACTTAGTTGGCAAGTCTCACTCTCCTCACTAAATAATTTTACACATTGCATACATGATGTTATTGCATTTATATATGTATTTGTATATGTATGTATGTATACGCACATGCACATTATTGTTTAATTGATATATTGTTTCAGCATCGTCATCGCGATGTGCGCATCTCAATAGTCACACATGGACATGCCATGTGAAGAGAAAAAAATCTGTCTGGAGCCAAAACATATATTTGAACATTTCAATGAAGTTTATGTAGCCTGTCTAATCCCATTCACATTAATAATAATCATATAATAAATGTTATTTATAAGCGCCTTTCTGGACACATAAGGAAACTGTACAACAATCAACATTTAAAAAGTGACGATGAATAAAATCAGCATACAATGAAAGAAATGAAATGTAGGACAGTGTGATTACAGTTATAATGTTAAAGTAAGTAGACGATCTTGAACAGGTTTTCAGTCTGGATTTGAAAATGGGAAGAGAGTCAATGTTACGTATTTCAGGTGGCAGAGAGTTCCAAAGATGGGTAGCAGAGCTGGGATGTTTCAAAAAATTTTTTGCTTTAATCCCTGTATACATTATAACATCAAATAAACAGTATATGGTAAATGGATTTGAGCTTGTATATTTATTTTCTAGTCTTCTGAAGACTCAAAGCACTTTATACACCGCAGGTCACACACTGATGGTAGAGGCTGCTGTGTAAAGAGTCCATCAGTATTAACTCATTTGAGTTGAACTCCCAACCTTCTGGTTCAGAGACCACCGACACTACCACTGAGCCACAGCCATCTCTGCCATTTTGAATCTGGAGCATTGTGAAAAATCTATTTTGTATAATAAAAAGAAGAGCAATAAGATCTCAGGGAGCATAGAAACAGACTTAACCAAGTGCTGCTTTAATTTACATTGTGAGTTTACTTATTGCTAAATGAGACAGGAGACCAGGTTTAGACATATTTGTTTTTTTGTACCAGGCTGTAAACATATTTATTCATGCTGTAAAAAAATTTTTGCCAGTCATGTGTATGTGACTTTCTGTGTTCCTGCAGCCACCCTCAAGCGGACACTCGAGCAACTACATTTTGCACTTCCTCATTGGCTTAATTTTTCAAGACCGGAGGTTGCCACTTGGCATTGACGGAGCACTGAAGGAGTGCTACACTTTCAATGTCATGCTAGTTTTCGAAAATGACCAACCCTGCCTCTAAGTTTTGTTGTTCTGAAGATATTTGTTGCTGCTGTTTCTGCTCTATAAAAAGCCTTTGACTCTTAGTCAAACATTTCTATCTCTGTGGGGATATGTTAAACAAAAGATCATGTTTAGGTTCCGGTGTGTGAGAAAAGAAAAGTGTGTGTGTGTGTGAGTGTGTCTCATGTTTCTGTGTGTTGCAGAGCGTTATCTGATCCACATCCCATTTCCACAGAGAAGCTGATCCTGCACAACTCTGCAACCAGCACACCAAGGTAAATTAAGATATTATTATATATATTTTAATTTAATTAATGCGTCTTCATCGTTGCAGGAGTTTTATCTGTACATAAAGGCATGCAGCTTGAAAAGAGAGCTGAATTTTTAGCTTAACATATAGCATGGCTTCAGTGTTGTATTTAAAGTTTTTTCTTGTTTTATACCTTGTTGTTATGAATTCAATTTTGAGGGAGTTCAAGTACTTCTGCAACTTAGCATTTAAGGGTTGACTGTCTGGTTAAAAGATCCTTTATTTCATAATCTTTTTTATGATGGACCGTTCAGTGTCCGTCTAAGGTACAAAGACAATAAATGTGACTGGAGAGCTAATCTAGTTTTATTTTAATTTTTGGAGATGCGTTACCTGCTGATGACTCAGAGCCAGAACTGCTACAGAGAGCAGATCCAGAAGGAGACGATGACCCGTTTGGCGTGGAAGAGACGCTATGCCGAGCATTACCCTTCCTGCTATAATCCTGGAAACACTAGTGCAGAAACCACACAGCTGCCCCATCAACCTGCAGACCACAGGTGAGCTGATTTATATACTGTATTGGACATTTTCTGTAAATCTTCAGCTCTGATAGCAGCCATGTCTGAATACTAAAGTGTGACCCATGCAGCTTGATCAGGTGTTAGCTGTTTCTAATTGTTTTTGTCTCCGAGCTATATAAAAGTCGATTCTTAAATGCAACAAACGAGAGTCCTGTAGCAAACTCCATGTTTTACCAAGCGGCAACCTCTGGTGTTGAAAAATGAAGCTGATGTGGAAGTGCAAAATCCTGCAGTTCATCGAGTGTCCACTAGAGGCTGGCTGCAGAAGCACCTGAAGTCACATACACACCCATTCAAAAAACGTTTTGTCAGCAGAGATGAACATGTGTACAGCCTGGTTCTGATTAGCTCATGTCTCCATCGGCACATAATTGATCGATTGATTGAACTGTTTCTGTAATTCTTCCTAAAGTTTTAGCTTTTGACTGTTTTGTGTCAATTAATTTCTTTAATAATTACACATATTTAGTAATCCTGTATTACTGTCCCACCCAACAGGACTGTTCTTCCTACTGTAACCAGGAAACCTGAGAAGAAGAGTGACCTCTCTCCCCCTCCCCCTCCTCCTCCTGTGGTGTCTTTGGACGAGGAGGGACGGCTCAGTGCCCCCCCCCTAATGAGACCTGTTTCTCCACAGACAAGAAGCGCTCTCTATCAGGAATCCTCTCATCATGTACGGCTCACTGCAACACTTTATTTTCGTTCACTTAAACAAGACGAACGCTCCAGTAGAAGCATCAATCTAAGGTTGTTTGCAGGAGAGTGCTCTAAATGTTTCAGATTGTCTCGGTTTTATACTTGCAGTTTAAAATCAAACTTGTTTTATCTTAAACCTAAATCACCATACAGAAGAGTATGCATAAAACAGAAAAACTTGGACTAATACACCTCCACATGCATACAGCGATCGGTCAGTATTCCAATATTTCTGCATGCTGTTGACCCTAAACTAAATGTCCTCTACAGGGGAAAGGGCGCAGTCTGTACCTGCAGAGACGTGGGCAGATCAGACCTGAGGAGAGGTTTGACTTTCCCGTGCTCTCGTCCTGGGAGTACGGCTGGAGGCTCGGTAGGATGAATACACTAACTACAAAACCTTTATCAAACGGGTTACTATGTTTACCTTCTTACTATGCCATAAAAAAAAGTCCACATGCTGAGATAAATGCATAAATAGTCTCTTTTAATGTCGAATCAGTAGCCATGTTTGTTGCAGCATAACATTTCACTTTGGCCCCTCCTCCTGGGCCCAAAGTGATTAGCGTGTCTGTTAACTGCTTGCACCGACGCTGCAAGCTACCTGAGAATATTACATAAATTGTGATAGAAAAGTAAGTAATTGAGCAAGCTAGCACAAGCTAATTTGGCACCCGTCCTTGACTATCATCAGTGCTGGTGACAGATCTATGCTCTACTTATTCCCCTCCAGGTTAACATGTTCTGCCTGCTTCCTCAGGTGACTACACTCTGGATTACACAACTCCGTCCCGGGCCAAGTCGTCAGTGGTGAAGAACACCTTTTACGCCAGGAACGGTGTGTTCAACAACAAGTCAGCCACCGACACCCTCGGCTGAAGTTCATACTTCAGACATGAGTTACCAAGATGTCCGAGTAGTTCATGTTTGAGGATTTAGGTGATTTTATGAAAACTGTACGTGCACAATGTTGGTAGTTTAGATTATTCTAATTTCCTTTCATCATTTCATGTTTGAATGATTTTGACGCCATCTTCCTCCTACATGAAAAAAGTGGCCTCAGTATTGTGGTAGAACTGGGCCTGCAGAAAATCAGCAGAAAGAGAAACCCCTCCGAACCTTGGGACGAGAGTAAATAAAAGAGACTTTCAGAAACTGTTGAGTTGGTAAGTCACCCAGTTTATTACATGCAGCATGGAGAGAAGTTCAGCTATGCGTACAGGATACACAAAGTAAGTTCTCTGCCCGCTCTTGGGGCGTACAATCTTTATATACTTGAGCATATAGTGTGATCGAAACTTACAGAGGAGGATCAAAGAAAAAGGTGTAGCTTTATCTGTGTCAGCACCTTGTGGTCAGTGTATAAATATGTGAATGTAGCAATAACTTGTCCTTGAGAGTTTGAAGAAGTAGTCCTTATAAGGAGCTGTTGTTGAGTTTGTGTACGTGAGATAAAACACCTGTGGTGAGGTGAGTATCGTGCAAGGTTCGTGTGTTGCAGTGGTCATATAAGGACACGGTGCATGTATACGTGATATGTGTAATGCATTGGATCAGTTAATGAGCAAACATAAAAGTATAAAGAATATAAGATTCCACAGTATGAATCCTATACTTCTTGTTTAACTGTCCGTCCACAACACACACAAGCACACACACACAGGTGTAAGGTTAAGTGTCGGACCACCCGATACTGTTGGATTCATTTTTAATGAACTTCTGGTTTGGTGTCATTCAGAGAGTTGTACACCTGACACCTCTGTGTTTTTATAGAGTCAGCTAGTGCAGGAAATGTTACACACCACAATATTAATTATTAAATGTCTAATTTCACAATTCCATTATGCTTTCTCTTAAAATATCCTGTGTTCATGTTGAACATCAATATGTTTATTAATCATTACTTATTGTCATGATTGGTTCTTGTTAAGTGTTATATTTTGTTAATTTCAGTGTTTAGAATTCATTTCCTGTTTTATTGTGAATTGTTCCCTCATGTTGCTTGTATGTTGCTCATGTTCCTGAGTTTAAGCTTTAGTGTTTTCCTGTTTCATTTTGTAGTTTTTGCTGCCAGTGTTTCTGGTCGATGGTTACTTACTCCCTCTATGCGTTTCCCTCCCTTTCTGATTGCACTCATTGTCCTCACCTGTGTCTTGTTAAAGGCTGAATGTGCGACATTTTACACACAAATAAAACAGAAATCCAATACATCCTCTGAAAATAACTCTGTGAGTCATGACTGTCTACAATGAGTGTGACACCCGAGTCCCGCTGTCTGTGATGTTGTCTTAGCCGTATCTACAGCGTGTTTACATGGACGGGACGGCCGGCCGGCTCCTCCCCTGGCAAATAAAAGCTGTTTAATTGAAGGACTAGAGAGAAGAAGAATAACATACTGTACTCACTTCTTAATTGAATGTCACGTAAGCGTTTTTAGATCATTTCGTGTACATTTATGTGCAGTGTGAAGCTACGAGCAAACTAAAGATCGCTAGCATTAGCATGCTAACACAACTATGCAGCGCGACTTGTTCTGGTTTCATGCTGGGCGACATCTACTGGATCATAAAGTCGCATATTCTTCCTTTAAGACTCAAATATACTTACTTTTGACCTGTTGCTTCGTTAACGTCAATGTTCACATACTAGACTATGTACAACGTGTGTTACTGGAAGATTCCTCTAGAGGGAGCACCACACAAATCAGACTGTGTAAAACACCGAAAAAGAGAGGATCTGTCACCATCTGGCGCGCATGTTTGTTACTTTGCAGTGGCAATGACACATCATAGTGCGGGACATAATCTATTAATGTTTCTTCAACACTTTCCGCCATTGTTGTAGCGGCCCTCTGGTGTCTCGGATGTTACAACCCTACACTGCTCCTAGCGGTAATGTGCATACTGCATCTCGCGGACGTGTAGCGTTAATTTCTGAGGACGTGCACGATCAACGCTCCAAACCACCGCAGGGTACTGAGGCGGATGTCCTGCGTTTACATCGGCGTAATTAAAAACAAGTTTATTCAGGGCTTCAGCCTCACCTGTGTTTGATTGTGTTGAGTTACCCTGCATTCATTTGGTGTCTGACACATCGGAAAAACAAGTTTGTGAGTTTGAAAATGCACATGAAATTAACAAGTAAAATGTTGTACTTCAATGCCAGTCTTTATTGATTCAGGTGCTGTGATGTCACAAAGTCTGTGATGTTAATTAAAATGTTTTCAGGGTGGGGGTCTAGGTGGTTGGGAAGATGAGGAAGCCGGTGAAGGTGTGGCTGGTGCTCGGGCTCGTCACGATGTTGTTGTACCTGGTGGACTCCAGAGACACCGTGTCTCCGACCTCAAGCTCCAGCATCGCTGAGCCGGAGGTGACCAGAAACCCATCGGCCGTGTCGCACAGCGTTGTGTGAACATCACTGCCCTTCATCAGCTTCAGACACACCTGGATGAGATCACAGAAATAGCTTCAGAAAGATACGAGCTCAGAGTTCATCGACACTAACATCATTATGAGATTTTATTCATTGAGTAATGCCGAGGTCAGACGACACCGTCTTTTTGTCTGTAGAGAAGGTCACTGTGTCAGATTAGGCGATCTCAGTCATAAAGTCGTGCTGTGAAATGAGCATTTAATCCTGCGCATTGTGAGGTAAAATCAACGTTTTTGTTAATGGAGTCTGTTTTTTTGAAAACAGCAAAGCAGAGATTTTAGGTTTCTAAAAAGTACTTCACTCTAAATAGAAGGACTTCTCTGTAGGGATCTTCTCTGTCAGCACTGTCTGCAGCAAAAAACAAGCATCATCCGTTTGTGAACATTGATTTGGCACAAAGCTGTCTGTGGCCAAAAACTGTATTTTTAGTTTGTACATTTCTATGGTGCTCATTTGACCTCATGTCTTCTGTTTCAGTCATTATACTGTTGCACTACATCAGTTCAAAAGCTTTTGGGACCAATTGTTCATTTTGAGTCTAAATGAACAATTGGTCCCAAAAGCAAAGTCTAAATTTTAGACCCTAAAAATATAAAGAAATAGGGACTCCACCTTTAGTTAGTCAAAGTTACTACTGTAGTAGTAAATAAAACATCTGTCTCTAAAATGTCCTTGGGCAGATTTATATCTAACATAAAACTAAATCTGCCTTTAGGACTTTAAAGTAAATTGAGAGTTTGGACTGAAAAGGTAAAGGAGACAGAAAGTCTAAAGTAAAGAATCAGATACTCAGACCAGTTTCACTCTTCGGACTCACTCTGCTTTTAGCTGAAACGTGGTAACTGAAGAAATAAATGCCTTTGATGACGCTGGTGTACGTCCCATTTGTCAAGGATTCTCCTTGAAGCTGTGGACCCAGATCCGGCAAAATCTTGCTGTAGGAAAGTTAAACACATTTAACATGAAACATGTTAGTTTTGAATCATCATGTTGTTGGTTTCCTTCTCTATCATCAAAACACTCATTTTAAGTTCATCAGTAGCTCAAAGCACTGACTTGTTGAAGTCTATGGCTATGTCGGTCTCTGGTGGATCTGATGAAACCCGTTTGTAGGAGAAGAAGGATTTCTGCTCGTTGGCAGAGTTGAAGGGTCTTCCTTTATCGCCTTGCCGGCCTGGATTACCAGGAGGCCCCGGGATACCCAAGTCCCCCTTCAGCCCAGGCCGTCCAGGTGGGCCCCGCATACCTGGTGACCCTTTCTGTCCCCTGACAGGCTGACCTGTCTCACCTGCGCAGACAGTCACACTGTTATTACATGTCACAGGGTTGTTTATGTCAACTGAAACTGAAATGAAAAATAAGTTTTATCTTCAAAAAGTAAAGGTAACTCTGTACTACTAACCAAAACCATCATGAATATTACTTAACAACTGTATTCACTTACAGTTTGACACCACACATATAGTTAAACAAAACTTGCTGCAAATATAAAAAGGACCACACTTTTTTTTAAATAATACACTTCCACTTATTTGCCTACTTATTTTGTGTTTAGTTTACGTTTATGTGTTTATTTAAGATGCAGTGTCTTTAGCTCTGAGGGGTCCCTAATTACAGAGAGACATAGGATATATGTACAAGATTTTTCAGTTTAAATAGTGGTAGATTTCTTCTGCAAGAGTGAAAATATTTTTTTTTTCAAAATGCCCAGCAGGGGGCGATTCCACTGATTTCAAAAGAAGTAAATTGTTAAGCGTATTTTTATATTTTTTTTAGTTTATGAGGAAAAAAATGACCTTCAGATAAGGTCAGAGCTAATTGTTTCCACCCTCTTGTCCGTACACTGGATCAAATACATCAAAGCGATTGATTCTCAATGTAGAGCTTCAATACGACAGTCCACAGTTGAGTTTGTAGAGTAAAAAAACAAAACAAATACTTACTGTACTGTACTGAGCAACACCCCCACAAAATGTTTTGATTTAATAAACACTATAAACACTAAACTCAACATGTTAAGTTTATTTAACAGCTATTCAGTAGGAAATACATATTACAGCCATATGTGATTAATGTTTTAAAAAATGCTATAAAAACACAAAATGTCCGTCTCCATGTTTGAGCTCACCCGGGTCTCCCTTCTCTCCCTTGGTGCCGTCTAAGCCGTTGGGGCCATGGGTGCCCGGTACCCCAGGAATCCCTGGAAAACCACCGCAGGACTGAGTGACGACTGGGCCAACGTGAACAAGGAGCAGGCAGGCTGCAGTACTGCAGGTCAGCCACCAGGGGGCCTGAGTCAACACACAGTGATAGAAGGACATACACTACTTCAACTTTAACCAGGACAATAAAATCTTTACCATGACTATAATTATAAATCAAGTCTGCCTCTTTGAATTTAATGTTTTGCTTTATCAGGACCTGGTCTTTTCTTTGTCCTAAATGTAAGGTTTTCCATAGCTGACTTAATAGCATGGAGTGTACATTTGCTTATTCTTCTTTTATTTGCCATGAGTAGAAAATCGAGCACTAAAACACAAATTAAAGAGAGACATCTGATTATCCATCCATTCATTAGCTATACTGCTTTTCCCCGTTCTGGGTTGCGGGGCTGGAGCTGATCCCAGCCGCCATTAAATAAAACAAATGAAATAAAGATATAATAATTCAAGCTTAACACAATTTGATTACGAAGTACTCGTTCTTTTTTGCATGTAAATTTAAATTTTTAGCGTTTTAAGAACATGCAGAGGACAAAGCCCGAATACAGCTCAAAATCTTCTAGTCTGACAAATAATATTTTCCTAAGTTTGAAGGTGAAACACAAAACCAAAGAAATTAAGACTTAAGAAAAATCAAGACACATACGGCAAGATTTTCTTGTAAGACCACTCACTTCTGAAGCAACAATTCTTCTCTCTAAACACGCACTTATTCTCTCTCCCACTCAATAAAGATGTATACTTGTTCAGTTTAGTAGCACTTAAAAGTCTCACCATTTGCAGGTAAAGCAGTCACTCGTGCTGTGGTGAAAATGATAAGCTGATGAAGAGACGTTCTGCTCCTCAGCAACAACAGCAGCTCAGTGGTGTAAAAAAACCAAAAACAGGAAGTGCCATGCTTCAAGAGATTACGATCGCTCTTCTATTGGTGCTCATAGAAATCAAGTAGGATACAGATGGACTCAGAAGAATGGCTGCAGGAAGTTACAAAGTTTATAAAGATACTGAGAGTTTAAAGGGAAACTTTGAGATACAACAGTATCTCAAAATTAATTTCATGTTTCTTATACTTATTCCTTTCCATATTAGGCAAATGTATTTTTTATTTTTTTCAGAGAAATACATTCATCTTGATTTTGTGTTATTTTCTACAGTATGTTTTATTTACTGGGGAAAACATCTGTTCAGTTCAATCAGTAACACATTTTATAAGAAATATTGTGATATGACGTTTGTGAATGAATACTTACAAATGTAAAATATGAAGATTAATCTAATTTAGAAATGTGGAAACCTCCACTTTGCATTGGCAATAGCGTCTTTTTCTCGGTGCCCCATTGTTTTTAATGTTGATGCTGCTTTGTTGGTAGTTTTCTTACTCTTTTCATTCCCAATTTTGTGTTGAAAACATTTTCGTTGGAAATAATTGCATACTGTAAATGGAGCAACTGTTATAAAGTATAAAAATAAAATATTGTGAAGTAGAAAAATAGAGGTGCTACATACCTTAAACGTACAATATGTAGAATTTTATGACAGTATATACATTAAAATGTCTAAATTAAGTAAAATTGACTTAACCTATGTTGTTTTTTTGTTGATTACTTACATTACCTCAAATATCATCATTCAATCATTTTACATTTGTAACAGGACATGTCTTTTCTTGGCGGCCGCCATGATAGAGCCGCCAAGACAAGACATGAACATGTTTATCGTTGGAAACACAGGATGTTATGTCAAAGACAGCTGCATTAATGTCTTTTTCCTGTAATAATAATTACATTAAATTTATCTGACACGGCGAATCCCTCATTGGAGGAAGTGAAACATTTAAACAAGAAGTCAAGAAAAACTCCACCTGAAGAAAAACTGATGATGAAGCATCATTAAATGTATCAGATTTTGTTTTTTTAATTAACATTTTGTTCTGTTTTTCTCTGAACTTCCTCTCCATTGCCTGACTGGTTTCCTGGCGGGGTGTTTCTGTGGCTCCAAACTGAGGTTACATTTCAGTATCTGTTCCACAAAATATTTAATTCCTCCAACTGTAAAGAGCTGAAGTATTATTTTAATACAATGTCCTGTGAAATATGTCAGTCTGTTGGTTTCTGTGTTTGTCAGATCCTCTTTCAGTGTCCTCGTTTTGTGTATCTTTGAGATTCAGCCTGTTCCCAACAGTTCATGTAAATTATAAATATGTGATCATGACATAAAATGCACATTGTTTTTATAAAGTAAGCTGGACTTTTTAACACCAAATAACGAAATAAAAAGAATCACAGAATCAGTAGTCAGGTGACAGGGTTTATATATTTATATAAGTGTTCAGCTTTCTGTTTGGAGTCCATGTATGTGTTGTTCACTTGGAAAACCACAGACTGTATAGAACATAAATGTAGCCTCAGTGACATCACCCATTGGTTTCTTAACAGGCATTATGGAGCCCAGGATTTCCATGAGAGTTATGTTTTATGTATTTATGTAATTGTGCTGTTTTTTATGGATGTATTGCCTGTTGCAAACCAAATTGTCCCACGGGGACAAAAAAGATTTTCCAAATCCAAAATCCAAAGAGGTAGAGCTGGAATGGCCTTAACCCCTAATTCCCCGATACACTGGTATGCATGCCGCGGTCCATCAGTGCCACGATTTTGCTCCGTCGTACGACGCACGCCCTGCCCTACTTGGTCCATTTCTGGAACGTGAGCGCAGCCATGATTAGCAGTTCACACATCACAGGAGAACTACACGATCACGAGACCTACAAGAGTTATGAAATGTTTTCATAACTCTTAGGCTTAAGTCAATCTAAACAGATAAGTTACACAAATTTTATAGTTTTGACCATAAAAGAAATTACCAAAACCATGTTTATTCTTGCTGTCAATGGGACAGGTTTTTGGAGACAGCTTTAAGGAATTACAGTTTTCTGAACTTCCACATTGGCTTCACTTTTCAACACTGTAGGTTTCTGCTTTAAGTAAACAGTTTGTCTGAATATAAGTGATGTATCATGAGTTGGTGACAGAAAATGAAACACAGCACTTTGTCAAATGTATCTTATTTTATTGTTTTATCTTAATTTTACAGAGATTACACAAACTGATCACATTTAGACGTTACCTGCAAATACATGAAAGTGATATGCATGTAGTCTTAAAATTTAAAGAATGTTTTTAAGGAAGGGGAGCACAATATTTTTTGAATTTGTTTTATAGCCTTGGCATATAACTGTGAATATGTGAAGTAAAAGGTGACATTTTATGGTCAGTGAGGTTGCAGCAGGAAGCCGGAGAAGATGCTGTAACCACTCGGTTGTCCTCTCATTCCTCTGTAGTCTCGGGTTTCCAGCCAAACCTCCTGATCCCTGGACAGGTAGACCGCCAGGCCCCCTGAGGTCACCTGAAATCAGGACCGAAAGGCAAATTACACACTATCAGTAAGTCAGCTGACTTTCCTGTGGGACTTACCCAGAGTTCTTTGCAAAATTGGTGATGTGAAAGCACTGATCATCCAGGAGATATGGGATTAGGCCTATTTCTAAATGTGGATTGTTTACAATTATTTTTGTTCATTGGTGATGATATGAAGGTAGTAAATGGTGTGCAGCCACTTGAGTCCTAGACATAAAAGTACATATCGTAAACTATCGTTTTCTATCCCATGAATCCCATGAACTTGAGGTGGTGTTAAATGTCCATACCTGTCTCCTGTTGCGGCGATGATCGCAGAACGCCGTCAGCTGTGTGCTGTCCACTTTCATCACCACACACAGCCGGTCGTCTAAAGAGGCGTGGAACACAAAGTAATATATCCCCGGCACCCGACATCTAGAAAATCAAACCAACATTTAATCTCTTATCTTTATCTGGTTGTGCAACTTAATCACAGTCGACATTTGTACCACATCCTTTTTTTTGTCTCTATTTCTATGTTAAAGGCAGGGATGGTAATTCTGGAAAACCAGCATGATTTTGAAAGTAGCATTCCCTCTGTTCTCCGTCTACACCAATCCCCTCCCCTCTGTGCTTTCCAAAAGCCCGAAGCGGACCTCAGCTCATGCGTTGAGTGTGAGCTAGTGCACATGAGGTAGAGAACAAGAAGGGAGACAGGGAGGCGCCTGATTGGTTCATCAGATTGGTACCTCGTGGCAGACATTGGTCAAAGTTTTTACAGTTTTACAACTGATACAGATGATGGATTTTCTTTGTTCCTTTTTCAGAGAACATGAGTTATTAATTTCTGTCAGGACCTAAAGACAATTTCAACCAAAATCTGAAAAAATGTATCTGGAGGAAATGACCAACCCTGCCTTTAACTTAATCTGGACTTCCTAAAGTCTTGCAGAACAATCTGTAAATAATTTAATTTGTTGTTGTGCAAGCTAGCAGTCCTAAGGTGGCAAAATAATTTGGTTGTTTTTATTCCTTTGTCTAACTTAGTATTTACAGTAAAACTGAGACACACGAGAAATAGATGAACAGGCGCTGCTCTGGCAGATGTTATGGAAAATGTGAAGATAGAGTTATGTCTTCAATACAAATGCCGATGCATAAAAGTTTGTTTAACACTAAGCGCTGGATAGAGTGACTGAGATAATGACATCCGTTCCCAGATGCATGTATCGTTGATGGGATGATGAAGGCCAATGGGATTCGAGGTTGGATGAATATGAGTGTGATTTGAAGTTGTAAAATTAAATTAAAAATTAAACGGGCGTCTTCTCACCTGAAGGTTCCTGTCTCGGTGTTGTAATCATCGTTGATGTTGGTGATGACGGATTTGAAGCGAATCACGCTCGCTCTGTCGGGGTAATCGTTGACCGCTCTGGCCACGCTGAAGGCCGCTTTCTGCTGGACTCCAACAGTCCTGCAGCCACAAACACACAACAGAAAGTGATTCTCTCACACCTGGATTCACACACTGACAGGAAAAGAGGGGCAGTCATTTCTCTGTATTCATGTAGGCATGATATCAAATGTGATTTTAGAGGTATTGTGACTTGTTTGAACACACAGCACCCTTTCCGGATAATTGGTTGTCCTTTGTATGTTGCTCTCTGGGCCTTTGAATATGAACCATTCCAGGTTTGAAGAGGGATTTTTCAATGTTATTAGATTTTAAGGTCTTATTAAGTGAACAGTGGCCATATTGAATTCAGGGTCAATGAAGTTACCCTGGTTCTCCCGGTTCTCCTGGAGGTCCGTGTATACCTGGGATCCCCACTAACCCTGGTTCCCCGCTCTGACCGCGTTTACCAGGAAATCCCGTCAGCCCCGGCTCCCCCTTCTCTCCTCTCTGTGGACTGAGACCGCCATGCCAGGCCGCCCCTACAAAAAACAACAACAACAGTCAATGTCAGTTTAATTTTCTTCCCTTGATGTGTGTGCGTTGAGTATGGCGCTGGTGCTGCGATATAAACCCAGCTAGCCTATTTTATTAAAAGGATGGGGAGGGGGCAGCGGTGGCCTAGTGGTTAGTCCGTGCAGAGGCCGTAGTCCTCTTTGGGCTGCCCGGGCACCAAAATGGCCACAAAACAAAAATTCTGCAGAGCAGCTTTGAGGAAACGATGTCCTACCTGCACACCTCTTTTGATGTTTCTGACTTTATTAATCTAGCTCTGGGCATCAGACTGTTCTGTGTGTGTGTGTGTGTGTGTGTGTGTGTGTGTGTGTGTGTGTGTGTGTGTGTGTGTAATACCATGCTGTCCTTTCTGTCCGTTCTCTCCATCTCGACCGTCTCTGCCTGGCATCCCTGGAATACCTGAGGATTTAAAGACAGGTAAACAAACATGTATATGATATAAAGTACACACACATACAAATATAAATACACATACCTGGTATCCCTGGTATCCCTGTTGCTGGGCAGGTCTCTATGGCAACCAGCATAGGTAGGGCCAGGGAGAGGAGGGCACAGATAATGAGACAACAAGGACGCAGCATGATGGATGACCTGACAGGGAGAAGAGGAGACGATGAAAGATTAAGAGGGACAAAGAGATGAGAAGGAGAGAAGGGAACAGAAAATAAGAATAGGATGAAAGGGAGAGAGAGCAGGAGATGAGGAGACAAGGAGACAAGGCGGAGAGGAGGTGAAGGTGGAGGGGAGAGAAAGGTGCTGCTTCAGCAGTTTGCTGGTTAAGTTGAGCAACAATATTATGAAGTCAATTAACAGTCAGCAACATGTTGAGCTTGTAAAAAAGTTTTAATTATCCTTCATGGTAATAATCACCATTAACTAGTTGCTAATTAGCATGCTAATTAATAGCATACTGGCTGCTAATAAAGCATATTAAGATCATAATTCATGTTCAACAACCTCCTAACTTACCATCACTAAGAAGTTATTAGGAGGGCAAACTCTTAGTTATTGGCCTATGGTCTATGGTCATGTAGAATACAGTACTAATAAGCGCTTAGTAATGACTCATAAACAGCCAATATGCTGCTAATTAGCATGCTAATAAGCAACTATTTAATGGTGGAAAATGTGACCGTAATCAAAAGTTCTTAAAATGTAAAAAGACAGAGATACAATTGTTGACAAATGCAGAACATATAATTAAAATTCATTGGCTTTAAAAAAATAAATAATATGAAATATGTCATACATGTTGAATATAAAAATCAAATGTATAAAACTCACCTGAAAGGAACCTGGAGTTATATGAAACTCGAATCAAACTGAAGTGCAGCCTGAAGTGAGTCGTGCAGCGGCCGACACAGAAGAGGAAGTCGACACAAAACCAGAGATTCAGCAGCTTCAGCGAAGGATTCAAGTTTTTTTTATTTTTTTGGAGCTCGAGCTGAAAGAGAGAGAGAGAGAGAGAGAGAGAGAGAGAACGAGTTACACCTTTTTTCTGTTTGTTTTAATTTAATTTAGTTTTTATTTGCGCATTCCTTTATGCTTTGGCAATATTGTCCTCGCTTTATTCACGACAAAAAAGCTTGTTGAATCATAATTGTGATAAATAAGAGAGAAAGTTCATTACAATCCTTTTTAAATAATTACATTGTTTTTTACACAACTGCATGTAGCGTTTTTTATTTCATTGTTTTTTTTATTTTTTTATTTATGCAAAACAAAATACTGAAATGTACAGTCTTGTAGGTTCCTCTGTAGTGTTGGTGAGGACGGCCTGCCGCTATGGACGAGCTGATTCCCTGATATAGGGACTTTTTTTCCTTACTGATTGTTTGCAGACAGAGAGGGATTGACAGCTTCCAAAATCCCCATGGCAACAACAGGCAGGCCTGTTAAATCTGTCTTCAAAGTCAAAGTCAAAGTCAACTTTATTGTCAATTTCAAAATATGCCAGACATACATGAAAGAAACGTTGGCAGGAAATATCTGCTGACCTCCACCTGAAAGAGAATATTTGTTATGATTTAGCTGCTTGTAGATTTTTTTTTTTGTGTGTGTGATGCAGATTGTGTGTGTAAGAGAGAGAGGCAGTGTGTGCATTTATAAACAACTTCAACCTCCATCTTTGGGATTTTTTCTATTGGCAATTGCTTGTGCTCCGTCCTGATTTAACTCGAGCAGCATGACCTCTTAGTACATGCATTATAAAAAATTCAGTCGTACAGTATTCCACAACGACTACACAATCGTTTAGTCCATGCTGGGTTTAATGCCATTATCATCATGATCATGAAGTTTGGGAAAGAAGAGGAAAAGGTAAGGGGCAAGAAGATGGGGAGAAAGGAGATGAAACAGGAACTGAAAAGGAGGCAAGACAAGGAGGGAAGACAAATAAAGAAAGAGGGATTGTAGCAGCCGAGCACTTTCTGCCTTGGCCAGAAAAATGGAGCGAAGAGTTCAGCTGAGGATGTGAAGAAAGAAGCAAAAGTTTACCAGAAAGAAGAAGTGCAAAAAAAACAAAAAGTTTCACTTCCATAACCATCGACGGGTCAAACGACACTTTATGTGAAAATACAGAATCATTATATGAACTCAATATTTACTGAATCTTTATGCAGGACTTTAACGTTTATTATAGAAACATTAACTGTGTACTCTCTACATTTGTGAGGTGAGAGGAGGGCATGAACATGTTTTCATGATGTTCAAATCAGATGAGTTAATTAATGTATGTGCTTTTTTCATATAGTACAGAAATAGGACCAGGAGTTAGCCTAGCTTAGCACAGAGACTGGAAGCAGAGGGAAATTGCTAGCTTAGCATTGTTGTAAAACCGGACTGTTGGCTGTTAAAGTCTGAAAACTTCAGCAAATTCAAACTGATAAAGCACATGACATCCGGCATTGGCTTTAATATGTATTTTTGTTGTTGGATGCTGACTTCACCAGGAAACAGAAAAACCAAAATAGAAAGAAAGTATATAAAGTTTCGGTGGAAAATATGTTCCCAAATTTCATCCTCATTCCATATGGGAAAATTATGATGGTTCAACAGTTTGAACGTGAACAAAGAAGCAAGTGGAAGACATTTGATATTTAGAGAGCTATAACAAATCAGTGATTGTCCCAAAAAATCAGCATGACATGAAATGTTAGGAATGAGGATTTAAAGAACACATATTCTCCTCCTCTTCAATCAGCTTAAATAACTCTCAGAGCTCCCCAAAACATGTCTGTGAAGTTTCTTGTTCTAAATCCACTCTAATCCTGTATTTGATCATGCCTATAAACCACCTCTATTTCAGCCCTGCTCAGAACAGGCTGTTTCTGTATCTGTACCTTTAAATATGTAAATGAGCTGTGTCTGATCATGCCCCCTCTCTGGAAGGGCTTGGGTGTCTCTGGCTTTTTCGCTCCATGTCCTATTGTTTACGGTGAGAAGGCAGACTCAGAGGGCAGAACAAACACCTAGCTGTGGGAGTGTCACCCACCTGGGGGAGGGGTTACTGCCCTTTGTGATGTCATGAAGGGAAATTCTCCAAACGGCCTGTTTGAGCACACATTTTCTGAAAAGTGGAGCAGGCAAAAGACGGAGAGGATGGACTTTTCTCATCATTGGGGGGTTTGTAGACAGACTAGGGACACATATTAGCGTATTTTGCATAAAATGTGACCTTTAAAACAACACAAACACACCTATAAGTACTATTTTTTTTATTTAAAGGCCTTCACAGATAAAGTAAAGAAAAATTTCCAGTAGTCAATAAAAAGGAAGCAGGTGAAAAAAAACAGAGTTAGAAGCAATGATTCTAAAACGTGATTTTACTGTGATGGTGAGTTGTGATGAAAATACGTCTCTAAAACAGAAATCATGAACAGATACAGTCTCAGGTTTCAGCTCCGACTCAGTGACATTACAGAGGGTACATCTGAACTTTATTCTGTGTTTCAGAAGAGCAGGAAGCCGTTGAAGATGATCTGTTTTTCTCGGTTATCTCGGGAGTCGGTAGCAGTCTGCTGGTCCCTGAACGACTCGAGCCAAACCTTCTGACCGACCGTCAGCTCCAAGACCACACCGCCCGACAGAACCTGAAACACGAAGCGGACGATCAAAGACGTGAGGCGAGAAAACAGTCCGTCACAAAGAACTCTCATTTGGCTTCAGTTAATCTGATAAATACAAAAAATGTGACCCAACGACACGATTGGTTTAGGGAATATAAAGACTGTGAAGAAAGAGCGAGAGAGGAACACCATTTTCTGAAAGCTAAGGAACTGGGGGTCGGACGTAAGCCCACCACAGCAGTACACTGCGCGAAAGCTGATTTTTCCCATCAAAAACCCAACCAGGACCAAAGATGTTCTATTAAACGGGAGTGCTCAGCTGTCTTTAACACTTTACTGTTGCAACAATGACAGTCATTCACAAGTTTTCCCCCCGTTTATGATTTATTTATTTATTAATTATAAATAGAACTGATCCACTGGCCAGTCTGATGTCATCTGCCGGCCGGAGTTGGCCCCTGGGCCGCCGGTTGAATAGGCCTCTAGGCTATCTGGTGCCCCCACTTGTGCAGGTTTAACAGCTGCACAAGCTGCACAATCCATTTGGAGAGCTCGCTTTCACATCAAATTTTTCCAGGGAGTATAGTGTGTGACTATTTGAGTGAATGAATCTGATGTCTCGAGCTCCGTCATACTCAGCAGCACTGACCTGATCGTAGTTCTTGTTGTAATCACAGAAACCAAGCTTGTTTGTCAGAGCGTCACTGGCGATATACAGACAGACGCTGACCTAAAAAACGCACAAAAGACAAGAACACCATTACCCTCAGACATCAATCAGTCAATCAGTATTCATTTGTAAAACTCCAAATCACAATAAAAGTAACATATATCTAAAATAGGACATATCTGAAGTAAAACACATCCTGATATCCAGACATGTCATATAATTATCATCATTTATGATCACACAAAGGAGTGCAGCAGCATTTACAGATAGCTGTGTGTTACCTTTGCAGCAGAGTGGAAGTTGAAGTAATAAACTCCAGGTATCCTGCAGGTGAACACACCCATGGCTGGGTTAAAGTGACCTGGATTGTTGACCACAGTATCCTGATAGGTTACTATCTAAAACACACACGTAAGCAAATGAAGAGAGGATCAATAAGAGTTATAAGTTGGTGCAATTAAAGAAAGGAGGTTTAAGATTCAGAGGAATCCTCAAAGTGGATCTTACAGTTAGGTCTGTGCGCTTATGCAGGGGTGTGTTCAGAGGGTTGGTCAGGGGTGGCATGGCCCCCCGCTTGAACATCTAATTGGCCACCCCAAAAATCTGAATCTATGATTGGCCATTTGCCTTATCAGAGGCGGGACTTAAGTTAAACTCAACTATTCAGGATGTTTTCAACAGTCTACTCTGCTGGTAGTTTTATTTACGTGTAAATATATTCATTTTTTTGTTGGCACTTTTAGTTGTGAATAAATTCTTTACATCCTCTTTCAAACAATGTTATGTTTTAATTTTTCTGTCAAACACACAATGTCAAACATCTGATGGACTTACTTGCCAATTGTGTTTTTTGCAAGTTAGACAGCATACAAAAGTTTGCATGCACTTTTCTTTGTGACATTAAGTTGTGACTTTGCACAGACATCTTCGTTTTTGAGTCCCTGTAGTATCAAGATAAGAAGATTTATATGTTGCCAAATTGTGTTATACATTGTTACTGGGGGTAAAAAAAAAAAAATGCTTCGTGCCACCCCCAGGTCTGGACACGCCCTCCTGGCTTAATGCAAACTGAAGGCTGAGAAACTGACTTCAAATTAGGGACAGAAATCACAATTCCTTGCAGAGAAAGTAACATCTGAATGGTGTAACACCTCTGAAGACATTTTAGAAACTAGTAGAGAGGGAGACTGAACCTGGTTGTATGCAGGGTAGCTGGTTTCAGTCCTCATCACTGAAAATGCTGAATGGGTCTGCTGATGGGAGTGTTGTCCTATAGATGGGAAACACACACATATAATAACGCTTCAGCATATGCAATTTTAACATTAAAGAGGACATATTATCCCCCTTTTCCACCTTTTCAAACAGTACTCTTTGGTCTTAATGAAACATCTGTAAACCTTTAAATAGGGTTGTGATAACTTTGATCCTGAAAATGCTAAGCTAACACCTCTTTTATGGAGCTAAAGCACACCGTTTTATTCACTTTATTTCGATGTCATGTGACTTTTACATGATATAAACTCTAGACTGTAAGGCTGGAGGACGAGCCATTACCTTGGCCGATGCTCCTTCCGTTGGGCCCGGGGCGACCAGCGTTTCCAGGGTAACCAGCAGCTCCCAGATTTCCACTGTAACCTTTAGGACCCATATCCCCTTGAGAACCACGACTCCCAACCTCCCCCTTTAGCCTCAGGAGGACGTCTGCATCCTCTGGACCGGCCGCCATCAAAGCTGGAAGGAAAAACATTAAACATTAATATTTTTGGCCACTAGGGGGCATCACAAACAACAAAATATACGTTTATACCTGGCTCTCCTTTCTCTCCTTTCACTCCAGGTAATCCATCTCTACCCGGGGCTCCGTTAACTCCTGGTTGTCCGTTAGTTCCTCCACAGCTCACGTCACATTGGATGGATGTCAGACTCAAGGTCACACCCACCAGAACCAACATCCCATAATAACCTCCCATGGTTGGAAACAATCACTGATTTAGAGGAGAAACAGAAGATAAAAGTCAAAACACAAAAAGAGAAAAGTATTGAGACTAAGCACTGATTATTTGTTCTGTCAATTTGGGGCTTTAAGTCAACAATTTAAAACAAAAAAGTCAAAATTATTTTATTTCCCAGGTTGATGCCGACCTTAAAGAGCGAGTTATTTTAGGCCAATGGTATTTCTCTTTATAGATTTTAAATTCCTGGCAATGTGAAAATGGCTCTTAAATATCTTTCAGATCTTAATTTTAGGTCAAAAAGTTCACTGACGACTAAAGTTTAACAGGCAACAAGAAAGAAAAAAAGAAAATTATTAGCTTGGGTGTCAGTTTTAGAAAGTTGGAGGCCATATTGGCTTTTAATGTATTAAATAAAATAGAACTTTATTTGTCCAAAATGTGGAAAGTTGTCTTTGGCTTCACAAAAACATGATGACAAACATGACGCATTTCAGTTCAGCAAGAGATCAGCAGAGCGCTTTGAGTCCACGACATCATTACACTTTTGGCTCTGCTGTGGCTCAGTGGTAGAGTCGGTCGTTTCTTAACCAGAAGGTCGGGGTTCGATTCCAGCCACTTGTCTGATGTGTCTTTGTGCAACACTTAATCCTGAATTGCTCCTGCTGCTTCGTTGTGGTATGAATGTGTATGAATAGATTAGTTACTTCTAATGGACTCTTTACCCAGCAGCCTCTATCATCAGTGTGTAAATGTGAAGGTGTGACCTGCAGTGTAAAAGCACTTTGAGTAGTCAGAAGACTAGAAAATAACTGAACAAGCCCAATTCGATTTACCATAAAAAAAACTGTATTTAGTTTAGTAATAAGTTAGATATTAAAAACAGTAATGACATAAACCATTGTGCAGTTAAAAGTCTCAAACCCTGCAGATGTTGTGCAGTAATATTAGGGGGAAGGGGGGACTTAATCATTTCATTGTGCAAAGGACAAATACATTTTTATAAATCTTTTGTGATCTGTGGCAGTCTTGACAGTGCAATGGATGATTCAAGGTCGCTTGTTATGTCGGGTAAATGTCCTGACCTACTCTTGTCAGTTTCCCTTGACGTTTCACATCTCTGAAAAGTGAATTACTTTCAACCAGATGCTGGCCATGTCTTTGAGTCACACATGATGAAGTATTTAAAAAATGTGCATATGAAAAGGATTCTGAGGGTCGATGCTGAATTTCAGTTTTTAAATGCAGGGCAGTGAAACACAAGTCCCCCAATACTTAATTTAAAGATAAATAAGTATATATCTAAACTGAAAGAGTTCAAAGTTGTTAAGCAGCAAGATCTAAATCTCTGCAGGATGTATTCATATATAAATAATCAGAAATACATTTTTATCAGCAGGGGGAAGACTCAGGCAAACACTGAGAATTGTTTCAAAACTGATTTATTTTACTATTTGTTCCTTAAAGCAGTTCTTGTGTGAGCTCGTTTGCAAAATAAAAAAACATCCAATATAGACACACATTATTTATACAAATAAACAAAAATCCTCCAAAATAACTTATTTATGATATCAGACAAAATCTTTCACTTACCGTTCAAGTTTTCTGTCTCAAGTGACGAGATCTCGAGCTGTAATAGAAAGGACGAGTATTCCTCTTTTTTCCTCCGACACACACACACATGTGCGCACACACACACACACACGCACGCACGCACACACACACACATAAACACACACACACACATTGTACTTAATCAGAAGGAAATGAAACTTGTGATCAGGCAGAAAATGGTAGATTTGTCAGATCTGGTTCAGGTTTCGGGTCATAATGTTTTTACCAACAATCATTTTTGACAATTGTCAAAATTTTATAAAGAAAAGTCAGACTTCTGCATGTTTTTATCCACTGCTATCATGAGAGTATAGACTTTGGTTCATTAGGTAAACAGAAGGTATTTATTATTAGGACTGGATGCAGAAAAGTAAACATTAACTGCACCATACCTGCAGGTTAGCGTGTTCAACTCCCTGATACTATACAGTAAGTCTGTCAAGCACTAAGATATGGAAACATTAACTTAAGCAGTCTGTATGTCTGCAGCAAAGACACAACGCAGTGTAACAACTCGACAGCATGCAAAAATGATATAAATGATAACGAGTTTGAGCAAATTAAAAAATAAAGTACTCGTTAGTATTGTCTAGTTTCACATCAGGATAAAAACACTACGGGGCGTAGATGGCCTAGTGGTTAGGGCGCCCCATGTTAGGAGCATAGACTGTAAATATTAAAGCACGAAGCCTGGGTGACGTCAGCCATCTGTTCCTGCAGGAGGGTCCGGAGGCTCATAGGCGGCCGCCACCATGTTAGAAATGCTGCGTTCTGGGTTCAACTCTTTACCTGCATGTTATTCCCCACTCTCTCACTCTCCTCGATTTCCTACTCAACCCACTGTCCTATCAAAATAAAGGCTAAAAGTTAAAAAAAAAAAATACTCACTGTGTGTCATGTTGAAGATATTTGTATTTCATTATTTTGCATGAAAAAAGAAACAAAGCAAGAAATGTAGGCAAAAAGTAAAATTCTGTTTATAATGTCATAAAGTCACAAAAAACACAAATGATTACTATGATACACTCTGCAAGACAATACAGTGCAGCTTGATGATCCCTGAGGTGTCAACATTGAAGGCTTTTAGGAATGACACAAGGCGGTTTGTTGCGCCACCATGTGGTCAAATGATGCAGCAACAACTGACTGACATTCTGTGCAATCTGTTAAAGACTCAAGTTCTGCACTTTATGAGGCTATTGTTGAGGTTAAATAAATAACTGTTCACTCTTAATTAAGTCTCTACTGATTGAAATGTAGTGTTGAAGTGCTTTAAAAAAATACAATACAGTTTAGCACCAAATAGCTTACGACACAAATTTAATGCTCAGTAGAAAATATTGTAAGCTGACATCTTTAAATGCTTTAAACCACAGAGAGAACACAACCCCTGCAGTATCCTCATAATCATCATATATCGGAGCTATTCTGCTGTTATGGAGATCCTGCGTTGTGATATCTTTAACGGGAGCTCGTCTAAGGTGCCAATGCACGGAAACAGTCTGTCAGTGAAGGTTTGTGTGAACGTGTGTATGAGTGTGTTTGCGTCAGGATCAAAGAAAATCACTTTTCCTCTGTTCCAGTCCAGGTGAACTCTGATTTTCTGCAGTTTCTTCTTCACTCTGAGTACGGTGGTCAGAGCTCCGAGCGAGCGCACGCTGTATTTACCGCCGAAGAACTCTATTTGCCAGAATCCCGATTTTAATCGTCCCTTAGTTTGGATAGACTCCGCTGCCAAACCAACGAACCACGCTGCACTATCTCCAACCTCAAAGTCCCAGCTGTGAGTCCCCGAGGTGAAGCCCTCAGAGCCCCAGACGGAGCGATGGTAATCATTCCTCTCTGGATTATCTGGAAGCTTCTGTCTCTCTCCGTGACTCACGCTGGTCAGATCTTCAGACAGGATGAACTCTGGGTTTGCTGTGTTTGGATCCAGAATCACAGAACTGTAAGAGACCATCTCCTTCATCTTGTTCCAGATGTTGAAGCTCAGGTTACCCAGGTGTTTGGCCTCGTCGATCAGAGCTCCTGAGACCTGCTGTGGATGCTCCAGCAGGGTGCGCTGCTGGACTCTGTTCACTGCAGCCTTGTAGTTTTTCAGGAATGAGATGTCATCAGCTCTCAGCTCGTCCTCTGTGGCTCTGATTGTGTCTGACAGAGCTGCTATCTCTCTGTTCAGAGCCTCAATCTTCTCCTTCGTCCTCTGACTCTTCTGCTCCTCTTCCTCCCTCAGAGCAGAGATCCTGACCTCCTCTTCTTCTTGTAGAAACTTGTGAAGCTTCTTAAACTTCTCCTTGATCCGCCTCTCTGTGTTTCTGGCCTGGACTTTAATATGATCTGCTGTTTGGTCACAGTTTCCTTTAGCTTTTTCAAAGATTTTCAGTTCATCCTGTAAAGGTTTTAAAGATTTCTGCATCTCTTTTTTGTGATCTAAAGCCAGTTCATGTATTGGTCTAAATCTATGGTCCGTGTGTGTTTTTGAATCTCGACAGATCAGACACACGGGCTGCTGATGGTCCAGACAAAAGAGTTTGAATTTCTCAGAGTGCAGACTGCACAGAGCCTCTGACCCCTCTGAAGCTCTTTGTTCTCTCTCCAGTAAAAAGCACTCGCACAAGTTTTTCAACGCCAGATTACAGGGCGGTTCAGTCCTCGATGACCTTCTCTTACAAACTGGACATTCCTGTGTCAGTTTCTCTCTCCACCAGTTCTGCAGACAGCCTTTACAGAAGCTGTGACTGCAGGACACAACAACGGGATCTCTGAAGACGCCCTGACAGACCGGACAGGTGAGATCCTCCTCGGTTCTGAAAGACATTTTGTCTCAGAGTGAGGCTAAAAACAGACCGGGCAGAATGCTAACCAGTAAGTCTCAGCCCCTCCTGTTAGTGCCTCTCCGTACTTCCTGGTCCTTGAACGCACCAGCAGCCAGGTTAAAGTTGCAGTTGTATGTCCTGCTGTCGCTTTCCTCCCTCAGGAGAAGTTTTGTTCTAAGTTTTCCCTCTCTCAGTGTGTTTCACTTCCTAGAGGAGGAGCGACCGTGTATTTTCTGGTTGGTGTCTGATGAGTTGGAGGTGGAGCTTTGACAGACAGTCAGAGTCAAACATTTAACCTGCATGTTCTCTCTCTCTCTCTCTCTCTCTCACTATCTGTAAATCTCAGTTACTCACCACATCTTTTCCTAGTAGCTCCTGAGCCCTCTTAGGTTTCTCGGGATCGTTAGAAGACGGTCTGACTGAACAACCAACCCCCACCCACCCCCCCACCCCCACCCCCAATCACCCCCGTTCCCTATCCCTCTTCCTGCATCTTATCTCGTTTTCAAACCCGGCACAGTTCCAGCAGATCGTAGATTTGTCATGAGCCTGGATTTCCCAAGATTTCTTCCTCTTAAAAGGAAGTTTTTTCTTGCCACTTTAACTTTTGTTAAATTTTTACTAAAGTGCTCATGATGGATTAACGCTGGGTCTTTGTAATATAGCAACAAGTAAGGTCTTTTACCTGCTTTTTGTAAAGTGTCTGGAGATAACACTTGTTATGAATTGATGCTATACAAATAAAGATGATTGATTGATTAAATGAAGATGGTGCTGCAGGGAGGGGCGAGAAGTTGCAAAGTCTTGGTGGGATAAGATACAGGAAGGATTTCTCCTTTGTATTCCCCTTGTTCCTGTTGTCCACACTTCCTTGTCGCTGAGGTGGAGGTCAGAGCAGGCCATGCATGAACGAGGACGCCGGTGTTTGAGGGGACGACACAGTCCGGTGGTGATGGCTGGGCGTCTGGGACGTCAGGTAGTACCCGCTGGAGGTTGGGGGGACCTCCGTCTACTCAAGAGTCTGCAGCCTCTGCTGTGGGGGGCAAGGCCTCCTGGGCTTCTATCATGCTGGATCTGGGTCAACATTAAAATCCATCGTTTATAAAAACCTTCAAAGGCCACCGGTGATGCACTCAGACTCTACAGGAGATTAGGTACACTGGGCCTTTAAGCCGAGCTCTACCAGACAGGTGTGATGAATACATACCTCTCATTGGAGGAATGCCCAGAGAAACACGATGAGTTCATACTTGTCCTCCGCCTGTGTGAAGAAAAAGACACGTTTCGCTTCATATTACATTGAGAAACAGGTCACAACAGGAAAAATGGAAGGAGACCATTTCGTTAGAATTCCCTGTGACGGTTTTTAAAACACATCTGGTTGTGACACAGGGTTTCTGAGCGGCCACAAAGCCTCAGAAGGTGTTTGAGAGTCTGGGTCTGGGGTCCCTGTCGAACTCTTTCTGAGCTTTTTTAAGATACAAGAAGGGTGGGGGGGCTCCAAGGAGAAAAGATTGGGAATCACTGCACTAAAATCTGAGGATATTTCAAAATAAAAACGAGGGAGGGAAGTAAGAATGCGTCCTGATACTCTCACTGAAAACAAAGTGAAATAATCATTAGGGTTTCAAGAGGGGCCTCGCACGGTTCGGGCTCGGGCCCTAATAAATTCTAATAGAGAAAAAGACTTTGATGATGCAAATGAAACAACAAACTGATAAAGACCCTGAACCTCAACTAATCACCTTTTACTTTCTCATTTCCTGTTCTGACTGATTAAAGGCCGTCTGTAACGCTCCTTTGATCAAATATTTAATTAATGAATGTTGATTCCTTCATCGCCCACTGAACTGATCACTTCAGCTGTCTTTGTCTTTTTAAACTTGAGGATTGATCAGTTTCCTCTGTCACTTGTTATGTTCCCCAAGATGGCTTTAGGGGATGAGGGGAGGAACAATATGTGTTTTCGGAAAGTCCCCAGAACTGTTTAGTTCAAAAACACCTAATAAAATAAAACCCCAGGGAAAAGAAGGAGGAACTACGTATGAGCACAAATAAATTATTTACAAAATCAGAAAAACTTAACAAGGAAAACTAGTTTCTTTTAGAAAACACAACTAAAGAGAAGCCTAACAATAAAGATAAACAATGAGCACCAAGTCCTTCAGGAAAAAACCCTCCTTCCACAGAAGGAGTACAACCTCTACAGCACTGGTTCTCAAGTGGTGTGTCGGGACCCAAAAGTGGGTCGCTGTTTTCAGTTGGTCTCT